TCGCTTCCTTCTCTTTCTCTCTGTTATTTCTCGCTTCACAATGTCGTGTTCGGCCTTGCGGGCGCGGAAAACATGATGGTCGTCGAGCGAACCAAGCTGGCCCTCGTGGGCAAATCCGAGTCGACTAGCGACTTGGTCGGGCGTCGTTGTCGTATCGAGGTGCAGAACATAATAATCGTTTAATGCGTAATCTCGTGCCGGTCTGGAGCCATGAGCCAAAGCCGTGAAGCCGGCGAGGCCTAACAGCGAAGCAATCTTCATGATGCGAAAGGAAAAGAAACCTTGCAGCGCAAGGGGAGGTGCGAGAGGTCGAGAAGCTGTTTAACACATCCAGAGAAGCGCTATCGATCGGAACGAGAACTGGAGCAAACGGAGATATTAGCTTCGATGTTGAGAGAGCGAAGATTGAATGGCGGCGACAGCGACAGGAGTTGCCACGCAGAGATGTGTATTCGTGGTGGCTAAAGGGATCAAGAATGCAAAGCAATGCTGCTAGTAGCGTAAATTGTTGGCGCAGGTCGCATAGCTTATGCTGGTTGGGGAGAACGGTTTCTTATTATCGTACCTCGAAAATGCAACACAGTCGATCAAGGTTTTTGGGGAAGCTAGGATGTTTGGAAAAAGGTTTAAGGAGGGAACAAAGAGATGGGGTTGGGATGCTCTCGTGGTGATGCGTGGCCTCGAGCGCTACCGGGGAGGTACCGCCCAAAGTTCCTGACAAAAATAGGGGACCTGCACTGGAGCCGCTGGTGGTGCGTGGCCTAGAAGGGGGCCCGGCGGGATCAGTCCGCTAAGGACACACGGCCACCTGCCGGATATGCCCCTAGCTGCGCCACAGTGGACATGGACCGGTTTGCAATGCAACATAAAGTATCACGTTTCTAGTTTTTCGCATTTGGGTTGAGATGTGATCTGCAGAACTTGGCACCTAGGGAAATGCTAAAAAATATTGAATTCTCCTTAAATACCAGTCTTTCTGCTGTTTTGTAATCATGGCATGCATTTATTCTTTTGCCTATTCTCACTGCCCAGGCATCATCATATTCTCATCCCAAACGCCACAGCTCCGCCACTCTCAACCGATCTCAAACACTCAGACACAAGATTAGACCAGATCTGGACCCGTGGGTAGCATCCTCCCACCAAAACCGGCACATCAATAAGCGGCTCAATAGAGCCACGGTCCCTGAAACATGAGGAATTTACCTCAAGAATGTGGTTGCCAAGCAATAAAATAAGCATTTCTTATAATTAAGTCTAACATCGGAACTCGCTCTAAAAGATCTCATTCCATATCTATCGCCCCAACGCCATTTCTAAAACCGACCATCCCGTTTTTAAATCGTTATATGAGCACTCATAGAGACTCCTCTTTGTGAATCTCAATGCTTGGTGGTGCGCCTGTGAGGGCCTTGCATTGAGCGTATACCACGAATTGAGCGCCGACGAGACCGCATGTCATGACGATACGAGGTCCCAGTCCAGTCAGAAGTAATCGCTTGGGTCCGAATTCTTTCGCAAGTTGGAACATGCGACTTGTCGCGCCCTGGCTCTTATCACCAGCGCCCTTGTTGATGGCTGATAAGAGAGTATCGGCAGGGTGAGAGAGAATGGCGGCAGCGGCACCGGCGGTGATACCAGATGTAAGCTCTACTCCGGTTGACTCAAGCTGTGTGAGCTTCTGCTTTCGTTCGGGGCCTATTGCGCGGTAGATGACCTCGTTGACGGCCTCATGAACAGAGAATTGGCCAACAGCGAAGGGAATCTGCTTGAACAACAGAGGAACAAAGCCAGAGTAGAAGCCCTTGAAGCCCTCCTCACGCGCCATTCTTGTGAAACCCGAAAGCAAACCATCGGCATATCCTCTCTGCGAAACGAGTCGAATTCGCGTGGCCTCGAGCGGACACAGAAGAATATCAGCAAAGAACTCGGCTGATGCACTGGCAGTGAGATAAACGCCCGTTCGATGATCGACAGCCTTCTCAGGACCTCCAAGCATAGTGATGTACTTCTTCTTGAAGAACTCGTAACCAGCGAACTTGGCACCGCCTTGTACGAGGTAGCCTACTGCAGTTGGGCCGAAGCCAGTCAGTAGCGCTGAAGCACCCTCCTTGGCGACGATGCTGCGACCAGCCGAGAGCATGTTGTATCCCTTCAAGGCATCGTCGACCTGAATTCGTGTCTTTACGACATCAATTGGCGTGACAGCCTGTATCTTGTCAGCTTGCGATTGTGAGCATGCGAAGGATGCGACTTACACCATGAGTAGACGTCGCAGCAAGGGCGCCTGCGCCAAAGAACTTGACGTAATCGCTGATGGTGAAGTTGGGAACTTCCGACTGTTTCGTAGCCATGATGAATGTCGCTCAATTGCTAAATCTGCTGCTCCGGAGCTGTGTTGCGTAGAATGCGCGTTGGATGTGTTTTATGTTTTTCGCTGGAATGATGACGTCGTTGCTCATGTTCCGTAGCTACCGAGGAGCCAAGCTTGATCTTGCAGCCGGTTTTGCCGTCATCGGTCCGCTTTGACGCTTTTGGCGTCTTCTAGCTTGCTTTACGAGAATTGCGTCGATAAGGGCAATCATGCAGCTGAGTTTATTATCTGTCCTTTATTAAGTAGGATTTTCTTATTTGCAGTCGGTCATCCCGGGCTTCTACAGCCGGTATCTTTTAGCATGCGTCTTTGCTTGGCTCCCGTGAGACCCTCCATCGGGGGCCCGGACTTGAGGTGGGGCCATCGGCACCGACATGGCATCGGCTTCAGGATATAAACGCGACGGCGAGTGACATCACATCAGAATCCCGCGGGGTTACCATGGAATTGCGATATCGCTCTTCAGCTGCATTTCCCGTTTTGTCGACATTTGTTGATTGGCCATCCCTCCCTGTGTGCTATTCCCGACTGCTCCGGGCGGCCAATGGATCTGGTCAATGAAGAATGCCTGAAACCGGGTGAGATCGCGAACATTTATTTATAGCTGACGCAGGGATAAAACGCAATGGTATCGATTGGACCATATCCGACGTTTAGAGATAACGGGAGCTAAATCGAGAGATGTGTTGCCGTTCTGTCAACCAGCTTTAGCCAAGACTGTAAGTTACCTTGGTCGAGACTGAAGCTTTACATTTTATTTGATCCAATGATCAGTCCTGGTGTTGCACAAACCTGACAAAGGGCGCTGGCTTGCGTACTCCTGGACTGATCATTGGATGGATGCAATGGTGCAACAAACAGACAAGGTAAAAGAGAAGACTCCCTTGTCCCCAGTGCGAGGAAATGTCCTTCATTATTCGAACTCTTTAATATGCCTGCCCGTCTTCGAGAGCACAGAACGGCCTTCTCTCAAGCGTTCTGGTCCAGGCGGCCCTGTTATACGACTTTCTCAAAGGCATAGTTTCAAGGCAAGATGGCCGAGCGGTCTAAGGCGCTGTGTTCAGGTTCGATTCGAACTAGTAACGATTCGCAGTCTCGAAAGGGGCCTGGGTTCGAATCCCAGTCTTGTCATTTTTGCGATTCCTCACTACCAGACCTTTCTTTTTATTTTGATAGAATTGCTGAATTCTGTCTCCTATAGGTGAAAACTTTGCCGCGGACAGCTAAATCAAGTGGCATCCTGTTGCCTCATGGCGCAGGCAGTTGTTGTTCTGTACCCAATTGCTCTAATAAGTCGAGAAAAGCTTTTGATTTGAACATATCCTCTTGCCATGGCCTTCAGTAGTTTTCTGACTTTGACAGATTCCAAGAGGCCAGTATAGTGGTCCATATGTATTGCCTTTAGATTGTATGGTTTGCTAAAGTGTTCCTTCAGACAAGAGAAGGAATGTTGCCGCCTTGCAATCTAGTTCTTCCACTATGCCTCTTTTTTGTTCACAGTAATTCTGTGCTCAACATCTCCTCGATTTCGAAAAACAAAAAGAGCTTCCTGCTCACTCTTGGCTGACCGCTTCAGTCTTGTGCGTCGAAGCAGGTTGCAGTGCATGAGAAGATGACTCTGTCCGGAAGGCTCAACATCCGAAAGCATCCTCGGCTAACCACGCAATGCCTTGGTATATAGGATATGAAGTAGCATCTAATATCCTTCAAGGTTCTCCTCTCCGGCTATTGAAAGGCGGTTATGTTCGGGCCAAGTCTGTTCGTGATGAAAAGTAGTATCTGATATTGAATGAGATGTAGAAAACATACGATGTTCAAGCTTCGGAAAACAACTTCCAGATCTAAACGCAGAAAACACGGAGATGAATAAAACAAGCGTTTCGTCATAGACATGTGAAGTCGTCAATGCATCTCAAAACGGCATTCACGACTTATAAAGAACCAGACTGGTCAGATTCAGCAAGTCGGATAGTCCCACGGCAAGCAAACCGACCAATGATACAGCGCCCCCTCAAACAATACCACAAAAGTCATGCGATAATAGATGTTCGACGCGGGGAAGTTGTAAGATTTAGTGTAGCATCACATATAGCCTCGTAAGTTTAGGGTACCTTCTGGAAATGCACCACCGGTCTGGGGAAACTCGAGGCGAGAATATCCCGGATCCCGGAGATGTAAAAGTGAACTCGAGCTGTTGGGCTTCCATCAGCTGGTTCTAGAGTTTGGGGGTGAGGCAACTGACGTAGACAGGTGTTGTCACAAGACTGAGCCTATCGGTGGGCGCCGTGGCTGGGAATCACACGGTTATTGAAGCCTTGGCAGTTTAGCCTTTACACGATAAACACTTCATAATTCACTATGAAACTCGTAAATGAGTCGATATAGTACTCTGGAAATAATTATAGTGTTTTCACAATTGTATCATACCGGCATTGCAATTGCGCCGAAGTTACGGAGTAGTTCTCCAGAGTTTCGAGTCTGGGGTCGAGTTACAGGCCCCGATAATGCCCGACATGGGTGGCCCGGCTCTTGTCATTGTCACGGCACACCAAACGGTGATCATCGAACCACCGGCAGTCATAACGTGTGATGCTGTAAAGCCAAGGACGGAAAACCAGGAGAAGTAGCATTCTATCGATAATTATATAATGTTCATTCATTTCCTGCTCTGTACCTCATCATCAGCACTCACAATTGAGAACATCACCAAACAAGACACTTTACAATCAACACTCCAACAAAAACCACTACATTCAAGCATATAACAAACGTGAAAATGCTTCCCGCTGCCACTTCCGCCCACATCGCTCCTAAGTCAGTACCTCCACCTCAACCAATCGCCTGTTTTATACTAACAAAACATCAAGGGTCCTCCCCATCGTCTTGACTGTTGGAGGCGCTACAGTTGCAGGCCGCTCGCTGAGCCATTACAACAGGGAGACAATTCGGGCGCAACCTACACAACGAACTCAACCTCAACCTCGATCGAGATATTTCGAGCTGGTTCTTGAGTCGGTTTTCGCATAAATACTTTACTTTGCTGGACAAAGGGAATGAATGATTCATGATGGGCGGCGCATTTAATTGAGGCATATCTGTTAGCCATTTGGAGTTTTTGCTTTACGAATAAATATTCATTCAACCATCTCTACCTTGTACTTGAGTGATAATTGTTTTGAACTCTTGTTAGACCTTTGAGGATCGCATTTGATCTGTACGCCGAATGATAAAGAGTGTTCGGCGAACATAGGGCTCAGTTTGCCGATGTTCTTATTTCCTTAAGCTTATTCCTCCAGCAAATCTGCCCCAGATTTCTTCCCCGAGATAAGAACGGCCGCCGACCTCTCCGTTTCCACCATTTAGCTCATTGCTACTCTGTACAATTCCATCTTTTAGCTCAATCCTACCATTCAATTTCCCAGCATGAACCCAGTATTACTCCATCACGCCAAGCCGGTTTACGGAGAGCGTTCAAGCTAATGTCGGCTTCATGCTTCCCTACTGAGTAATTGAGCGACGATCACGTGCAGACCAAGAAGCTATAGATACATTTGTAAACCACGATACTACTCATGCGCTCTTTTCTCCATCGTGCCTTTTCTCGTGGCAAGAACCATGTTCAACTACGCTACACTTGCGGTCACGCTCTGGCTGGCTTGTCCGGCGTCAGCGAGCTATGCCTTCTACGTTGGCAAGAACCTCACTCAAGATGGGAGTGTTATCGTCGGAGGCACTGGGGAAGAAGTTTCTAGCCATTGGCTTCAGCTCTTCCCGGCGCGTGACCATCCTCCTAACTCGACGATCACTGTTGGCGTCACTAAAGATGCCGTGTACCCGGGAGAGCTTATTCAGATTCCGCAAGTGAACCATACGTTTCGGTACATGAGTATGGAGTACTCTGACTTTGAGGGGTTTCCTGCGCCGTTGACGAATGGTGGTTTGAATGAGAAGGGTGTGACGGTCCGTGATGTCTGGGCTGATAACCGGGATGAGCTACTGGAGATGACGCCGAATCCTCAACGGGGTGTGCAGTATAGCGACTTTGCTCGCATTGTTATGGAGAGAGCTAGCAGTGCTCGTGAGGGCGTTGAAATCATTGGAGACTTGATGGCGAAGTACGGTGAAGCCACTTATGGCGGCAACTCTCATCTCATCGCTGATAAAGATGAGGGCTGGGTTGTCTGGGAGATGGCGGGCGGCAAGAAGCTATGGGCTGCCCAACGTCTTGGTCCGAATGATGTCAAGGTCCTCTACCCAGGCTATATCGAGAACTTCCCCACCGACTTCAAGAACAACCCCGACTATGCTGGATCTGACAACATTGTGTCATTTGCTGTTGAGCAGGGCTGGTGGAACAAGACTTCCGGCAAGCCGTTCAACATCTTCGACGTCTATGGTCCTCAGGATCCTCGATACAAGGCTCGTGATGGAGGCTACAAATTCATGTCGCAGGCAGCTCTGGAAAACGCCACCCTTGCGATGGTTCCTGTGACTGAAGCCAAGATGATGGAGAGAGTTCGAGATCCCCGCATTGCGGATGATGAAGCTGGCTATGGACAAGTCGTCAGTCTCCATGATGGAATCGACCGGGATATGCTACGAATCTGGAACGCGCCAGCGACTTCTGTGGCAGCGCCTTTCGTCCCATGGTGGCTAGGCGTTCAGTCCGTCCCCCCAGAGTTCGGCGAGCATCGATATTTGACGACTGGCGCTTCAAGCAGCTTTCTTAACCCGGACTATCAACTGCAAGAAGCGTCGGAGTTTGCTGGCCGCATCTTCAAGCGTGTGCTGTATTACATGTGCTCAGATCCGAACAAATACCATCCCATCGTGACGGAGATGTTTGAGAACTTCGAGAGCGCATCCCGCGTCCAGGTTGAAGGCTGGGTGGAAAAGACAGCCTTGACTATGATCAAGCAAGGAGAAAGAAAAGTGGCACAGAGTTTGTTGACGTATTACTCACATACTCGTGCGGCTGAGGCCCTCGAAGTTGGACATACGTTGAACAATGCTTTGGATGGGTATATCAAGTTGACAGGGAAGTGGCGTGGACCCAAGGGCGATCAGATCAATGATAGTGGTGAGGGTAACGAGACGGTCAATTGTCTTGTTGGATTTGACCCAGACAAGCCTAGATATCTCCAAGGCAACAACTAGATGCTCGGAAATAATTAGGTAGATGGAAATAAGTCTTCCGCCTACAAATGCCTCAGCCCAGCGTATCCCGAGTGAAGCAAATCACAAATCCATTGTAGCCGGCAAAAGTGGATCTGTTCCGCCTGCACCACGCCGCATCACCGATCAATCGACCCGCTCCGGATGCATAAAAACGGTGGGTAGTCCCCCCGAGCTCCCCGATATCACCAAGGTCACCTTGTCGGAAACCAGATCTTGCTTGGTCTCGGACCTCGGAAGCGCCGCCCCGGATTATATAAACCCCGCAGAACCTAGTCTAGCCCAACTTCCCCAGATTCAGCGCGCGCCAACCAGACGGCAAACATTACTCTTCAACTTAGATGGAGTCGGAATTGACGACACGGCCCGCCAAGATGTCGAAACGAAGCTGGTCCGAGGCTGAGAATGGTGAGAATCAGTTTCCGCCGCAGATCTCGAGAAAGGTCAAGGCTTGTACGGCGTGTCGAAGACAGAAGGTATCGCGTGCAAGTGGTGTGATGGAGTGATGCTGATGATGAGTAGATTAAATGTCTGATTGATGAGAATGGACCGCCTTGTCGACGATGTGCGGAGAAGGGACTCGGTTGTGTCTTGGGGAAGAATCTGCAGACAATTCTTGATGAGAAATCGCAGTACAGTAACTCCCCTCTTTAACACTTCATCTCACTGACAGTCTTCAGATTCACACAAGACGTAGTTTCAGACCTCGAGCAAATGCATAATTTCCTCAAACAAGTCGCCGGCAGACTCGACCTGGACTTACCACCACTCCGCTCATTCTCCGGATCAGCAGAAGGACCAAAAGATGAATCACCAAGCCTGTCAAACAAAGGCCATCACGTTCCCTCACGCGACAACTCACCAAAGCTCATGCCAGAAGACGATGATGTTCCATATGCGCCTATCCACTCACTATATACACTCACGAAACTACGTGCTCTTCGGTCACCGGATGATATGAATTCGCAGCAGAATCCAGGTATGGAAGATGTGATAACGAAACGTCTCATATCATTAGCCGACGCAGAACGACTTTTCAACTTTTACCGAAAACGTCTGGATCCGTATATCTATCTCATTGGATGTCCCTATGAGACGATGCAAGAGTGCCGACAAAAGAGCCAATTCCTTCTCGTAGCAGTCCTCACAGTAGCAGCTCTCCATGACTCAACCGCAGATTACATATACCCCGTAATAAGCTCCGAATTCCGCAGACTCTTCGAGACATCAATATTCGAAAGACGCCTGAGTCGCGATTATCTCCGTGCCCTATGCATCGGGTGCTACTGGCTGAGCGATTTATCATGGATGCTATCAGGCCACGCGATACGAAGAGCAGCTGAATTCGATCTTCATAACAGCTACGACAGAGCTATCGAAAAAGCCAGTACCGAGGATGCGCAGTGTGCGAGGATTTGGTACATACTCTGTGTTTGCGACCAGCAGCTTGCGACGCAGTATGGGAGACCGTCGATAGTGCAGGAAGATCCTTCGACGCAGGGCGCTACGGATTTCTTGCATTGTGCTGTTTCGCATGAGGAGGATAGACGGTTGTTGAGTCAAGTGACTGTTGTGAGCATTTTGAGGAGTATCCGTGAGCTGTTTACTGCGAATAAGGGGAAGCCGATACCAAGGCTGCATCTGAACCATATTTCGCATTTTCGGATACAACTTGATCAGTGGTTCGCTTTCTGGACAGATCAAGTTCAAGGTAACTTACTCAAACCCTTTCTTGCACCAGAATATCAGAGCTAATGTATATCAGAACGCTGGCCTGGCATCGGTGGTTTTCCAAGAAAAGGCATAATCCTCCACTACAACTTCGCCCAGCTCTACCTTTACTCTCACGTCTTCCGAGGCCTCTCCAAAGACGAACACATCCCGCACTACTTCCTCGACTGTGCCCTCAACGGGATAACAGCCGCCACAACGATCATCGACAAATTCGTCAACGACCCCGACGTAGCCCTCGGCATCGTCGGGATGCCATCATACGTTCACTCCATGACAGCATTCGCCTCCATGTTTCTAACAAAAGTCGCGACAAAATATCACGATCTCATCGAACGTGATAAAGTGTACGAACTGATCATGGGATTGGTGCAGCAGTTTCGGTCACAGCCAGCTGGGAAGTGGCATCTGGCGAATCTCATGACCGGTGGGCTTGAGAGGATGGCGCAGACGCTCAAGTTGGAAATTCCAGGGGATATGGGCCCGCCGTTGGGGGTTGAGATGGATCAGAATGTTGATACAGGAATATCGGGAGTTTCAGGGGTTGATGCTTTTTTCCCTGACTTGCCGGGCGATTTCTTTTTTAACTACGATATGAGTTTCGAGATGTCTGCGCCTTTGTAGAGTCAGGAGTTGTATGTACATGTAACTTATCGTTTGCCAGATCCAGAAGGATTAGAAAGTAAAGCTGCCGAGCCTGGCCACCGAAAGCATTATATACTGAAGAACCCATATGAACCGAATTTGTTCTGAACAACAATGAATCAAAATGAGGCAAGAGTGTTAATAGAGGGAGGGGCAAATCAAATCAACTCTCGGGACAATCAAGTCTATGTCATCTATTCGAAATGAAATAATAACAACTTTCCGGAGTCCACCACAGCAAGACGATTACCGCCATACCAAACTTGGCTCAAGTTCTCCAGCATGAATTTCAAGAACCTCTGCCCGTTGTAATGTATCCATTCCTCCTCATTAAACAATATCCGTATTTCTTTATCCAAACCTAGTTCAGAAACATCTGACTTGATTCGATAGCAATCAATAAACGCCCGACCCGTTAAATAGACGTGTGTCTCGTCTCGAGAAAATGAGTTGTCTGAATAGCCTCCATTGCCCGGCTTAGTTTCTAGAAACTTGAGGCCGCTTGATTCATCCCAGAGAATGAGAGAAGGATTGGGAAATGATCTGGCTGCGACCAAAGTGTTGCTTGTTGAGGCTAAACCCAGCACCGGAATCTGAGTGGGAGATTGCTCAAGAGGCAAATGGATTGAGCATCTAGATATTTCATGTTGGAAGAGGCATCTGGGACCATCGCGTGAAGTTGTAGTCCAGACCAAATAGTACTGAATGAAGCGAGAGCCAGGATAGAACCGTTAGGAGAGAGAGCCATCGCCACGACTTGTTCGATAGTCTTCAGATCACTTGCTCGAAACTGTCCTTTAGGGCCCAGGCCTTCAGAGTTGTACCATAAGCCACAGCCAAGTACTCATCGTTTGCAGAAAGCGCAACAGCCATGATCTGCTGTTCCCCAGGCGTCGCGAAGGCAAATGGCGTTTAAGAGCAGGACCCAACTTACAGACCTCGAGTGTCCGGAGATTATAGACTGCTACCGTTCTTCCATTGACCCCAAGATCTCAAGCTCCGGTGTCCGAGCAAGTAAGTTTGGGAGAGAATAATCGGTCTCAAGTACCTTGAGCGGAATAGATTTGATACCCAGGACGCCGAGAGTAACAGGTGACACATCGAGTTGCCAACGACGATCTTCCTCAATACCAATGTGATCCAGATTCGGGAGGATAGACACCAGAATAGACAGAAGTTGGCCTGCGGCAGTGGCAACAAAGTCCCGCGACCTCATGTTTTTAGGTGGACGTGTCCCTCGAAAAAAACGCTCGTTTTATGGTAGACGAGCGAGCATCGTGACGTTTGTCAGAGACATCCTGGGCACTACTTCCAAAGGTGCGTGCACAAGTATCGAAAACTTTTCGGCTTTGATCAAAGTCAAGTGATTCAACCAAGCGGACTTTCAGAAAGACAGTTTTGACAGAGCGAGCCAAGTCCGGCCGAGAGGCGATGGTCTGAAGAAATGGCTCAAGCCGTCGCTCCCACGGATTAGGGGCATCGCAACTGGTGTAATAAGGATCAAACGAATGATGTAAGATCTCTTGGGCAAAGGGACGGAAATATCGCGAGACCAGGCAAAGGTTGTATAGGGTTGTATTATCCTGAACTCTCTTTGACTCCGGTGGGGCCCCAAAAGGCCACTGATACTCGTTGCAGCAGTGGGGACAAAAATATGAAAATATGGAGCGCAGAATCTCGGGAGAAAGTTTTGAGAAGTAGTCCGTTATGGACTTTTGGAGTCGAGTTCTGGCCATCCTTTGCAGGGCGGGTTGTGAATGAGAGAATGCCGGGCGATGGTGGATGGACGCTAGGACAGAAGAGGCGGGGCGGAGGTTAGATAAGGTTACTGGGCGCTTAGGCTGCTACAGGGCTGTCTGCCTATAATAGGCACAGTCCAATGGTGTGACTGGATGGACAGTTGAAACGCTCCCCACTAAAGTCTGCTCTTGCTTGTTACCTATGGCGCCTATGATCCTTACCTTAGGTAGGCACAGGCAGCAGGTGACAAAAATGAAAAGAATGGTTTCATTGGCCAACCTGTCCTCTTGACCTGCTGGGAGGCAAAGAGCTGACATAAATGTGACCTTTCACCACGCAAAGATCTTGACCAGCTCAAGACAAATAGCTCTACCGCCCATTGAAACCACCTATTTATAATACTAAGTTCTCTGTGCTGATATAAGCTCTCAGCCACAAGTCTCAACTGCAATAACACACCTAAGAATTGATCACTGCTCAGTCGTCACTAGTAGCTAATTTACGGAAAGAATCAAGTAGAGGCCTGTACGAGGACCTTTCATTCCCTCAACATCCGACTCCCCAATCGGCATTTTCAATCTGTTTCGCTGAGAGTCCAGTACAGATCAAGACACTACCGCTGCAGCTTAAGTCTTTTCTGGCTTCGGACTAAGCATGAGATCAAAGGTTAAGGAAACCGATCGATGTCCAAAGCATATAAGACAAACCTTTTGATAACTCTCTTCTTCACCAGCTGGGCCAACAAATCCTTAGGCTCCTCAAGGAAAGCAGTGAGGATAATGTTGGCACCGACCTCTTCATAGGCAAAATTGCCGGAGCCGTATATCTCAGAGAGGGCATTGTGTAAGACAACGCCATCTTTTACTAGCCCTCGTGGGGTTTTATGCTCCCAGGAATACGCCATGGGCGTTTCACTCAATCTTGTAGGTTTCAATATCTGCTATATGTTACCGTCGGAAAGTTCAGAAACTGGCAGTGTTTGACTTGGCGAATTCTAGTTACTATATATCCACCAGTTGAAACGGAAGTAAGAAAGAAAAGATCCAAGTATTTTATAGTAGCGAGAAGTTCCTGAATCACTGAGAAGATAGCATCTGCTGCAGAGCGATTCACGCTCAATACTTTAATCCTCTGGACCAAAAGTGAGTCACATTGTGATGTTGCAGTTGACAAGCCGGGTCAGATCACAGTGATGTCTTTGTATCGTTCTTAATAATCGCAATAAGTATAATGAGTTGTAATCGCCATATAAATAATCCATCTGGGCGTCTCTCACGGCTATACTAATCTGCTACCTTTTGGCTCTTGCCAGTGAAGGTAAACTCATAAGTCATTGATTCACTGTGAAGCATGCATACAATTTTCACTTATGTATGCCAGTTATACAAAATAGTGCAAAGTAACAATACACAGCGCAAGGGACATTAGTGCTTTGTCATCGGGCTCCAGTCGTATTGATGACCACAGTGGACTTCTGTCGAATCAGAGACTCGAAACACATTTATAACAATCTAAGCTTGGACCAGTCCCCAGTGAGACATCAGACCCAAGTGCTCGAGAAATTACCGAGCTTAGAAAGTCACTTGTTGAAAGGTCCCCGCTGACAGTCAGTGGCCAGAGAGTAGCTGCATCTTTCCGCATGAGGAGTGAGCTGAAAATATAATTGTAATCTTATTTGCTACCTGAGCCAAATAAACAATCTCACCGCTTGATGCATATGCACCAATGAAAGGCTTTTAGTCGTATCAGCACAGGATGCATAATATATACCCACGGAGCCGGAAGCCGTGACCTCTCATCAGCAGACAACTATAAAACCAGCTGAACGTCTCCTGCTTTCCTATCCATAGCACCGAGCATCTTCATCTTACTCTTCAAACAACTTTGCACAAAGACATCCAAAATGCAGCTCATCAATCTCTCCGCCCTCGCCCTTTTTACTACTTCCGCTCTGGCAGCAGACTGCTTCGGTAACAGGCAAGATGGTATGTGTTAAAATTGCATTCTTTATCTTTACGCTTTGGGGCTGAAGCTTCTTTTAACCTCTCAACCTTATCACAGGTATCGAGCGGTTTGAGCAAGCATACTGGGATGCTCGCCAGAAGATGTGCAGCAACTCAGACTGCACCTACCAGCAGGGCTGCACCACCAAGGGCTCAAAGACCATCAAGGGACTAGCCTCTATCACCGTCAATGTCGAACTGAGCCGCAAGAACACTGGTGGCAAGAAGGGTTTCAAGGATTGCTGGGTATGTATTCCCTGAAATTATTAATGGCTGAGCTTTGCTAACTAATCTTGTTTAGGATGCTACTGAGTATGTAATTAAGATTCTTTACGGAGTTTATCTAACTGTCATAGGAATATCATCAACCAGTGCGTCAAGGGGACTCACCAGCTGAGTGGAACTTGGGAGTACAACGGTCAGCTGTATCAAGTCAACGGATACTACTCTTAAACCAAGGCAACGGGTTCGACATGATCGGGGAGACAGAAACGAGGGAGAAGGGAGACCCATGTGGTCGTTAAGCGATGACTTGAGACAGTTCCTGGGATATGTCTCGTTCATGTGTATACCGCCGACATGTTGACTGTGGCCCGGCACAACATGACAAAGTGTTGGAACATGAGCATCGTACTTCTAGCTCTGACATAAGACATCAACATAAAGATTTGGAAATTCGAGTAAAGAGTCTCTCAAACACCAAAGTGAACATAAGGGACCCAATAAGCCGGGACCAGTCCAACTATAATCTCCTCCTCATCATCGCAAGGAACAACATCCCTCGTTCCTTTCTCATCTCCTCGCACTAGCCGTTCCCTCGTCTTGTCGAAACTTTCAAGCCAACTATCCCTCAGCATTCTCGTAGCCTTATGCAAGCCGCGACACACCGAATCATCAGTCATCCCCCCTTCTCATATAGCTTCATACGTAACTCGCGCGACATCAACGTAATGCTTATCCCTTACCTTCCATAGAGTTCCAATGACATGTCTGAACCCAGCTAATTGGAATGCACCGATGAGATGTATGCTCTCATCGACGAACTTGTCATCTTGAACACGCCCGGTGCTACAAGCTGAAGGATACGCCAGAAAAGGTGACGCTTCGTGCAGATTTAACTTCAAGATATCTCCAACTGTTAGGGGATCGCTTGTGTTGCTCAGACAAAGATGACTTTTGGACGGGTCATCGCCGTTGGTGTATCCGTGTCCTGCAAAGTGGAATATCTTACAGTTTCGTAGACCAGAAAGCATATCTTGCTTGCTTTGACCAACTGAAACAGGTCGTATTGCCATACTCTCGCAGATCTCACTAACCACTTTGATCTCTGCCCGCGCCTGTGGTAGATGGGGGTGATTCTCTGTATGCTCCACATCTATCAGAAGAGCATGGCTGTGGCCGGCAGCAGCTTCGCGTTGCCGACGTCCGTGGACGAGAGCTCTCAGAGATGGGCTATAAGACGAGATCACTCTGTCCATCACCGTCTTGCCAGATCGCTCTCGATGTCGCCCCGAAGCATGAAGTGGGAACCTACTCAACGGCCCAGTAGGTACCCACCAAACATGAGGCCATTCCTGCTGATTGGGTGGTGTATCTGTGAAACCCAGTGTCTCCAGTACGCGGCCCGTGATAGTATCCCAAAGCCACTCAAGCATATCAGGGGTTCCCAGGTCGAATCCCGCTGCGCGTTACATCAACTCGCCATCGTCCAGATCTTTAAAAACCAGCGATGTGATACGCTCTCTCTCGATGACTATTCCTTCGCATCCCATCCAGCTGCTGTTGATGACCACGATAGGACCATAAGCAGCTGCCACACGTATCTGGTCCGTGGTAAGAGGACCGAGAAAATCCTCAAATCCAGGCTTTTTTCGTATCTCGTCCAGTAGATCATCAAAGTTCTCGGCAGCGTTTCGCCGTCGTAAACCTCGGTCCTGTCCAAGCTCGCCACTGAAATGCGAACTAGTGGAAGATTCAAGTTCTTCGCGTAGACGCATAAATCTCTCTGCCAACTGAGGAAACGCTTGCTGAAGCTCCTTTATATCTTTTCGTATATCGTCCAGCGATGATCCCAGAATACCCCTGCCTTGCTCAAGAATTGCCAGTGCCTCCGATGGAATCCTTCTTGAGCCTAATGGCAGCCCCTGTCACCGAAGCCGCAAGACCTCTGGAAAAACTGAGTAGATGTTGTCTATCACCCGTTTCGAGTGATCGAGCCGTGGCAATACCAGGGACAAGGTCAATGGCCGTGCGCCCTATATCATAAGCATCTTGGAGACTCAAGCACAATGGCATGACTGATGTTGCAGCGATTATGCGCCTCAAGATATTACCTGTAGGATGTTCCACCGCACATCGATAGCTGCGACTGGTGACCCATGTCGTCCCGAACTTGGCTGCAAAGAGATCCCCGAGAGTGGTCCAGAGGTATGTCCTGGATGGAGAGTCCTCAGGCATCGACTCTAACGTCTTTTGTGAGATCGCGATTGCTTCAATTATGTCATCCAAGGAGCCTCCAGCTCTGAACCGCTTCTTCAGGGGATCGGCCAAGGTACTGATGGAAGTGGGTCGCTCCACAAACGGATTTCCCATTGAAGCAATGGCTTTCCGAGCAATTTCAATGCCCTCTTCGAGATCGTCAGATGACCCAAACTTATCATGTCTCGTGTCGAGAGCGGAAGCCAGGCGGGATAGTATGCTCTCAATCTCAGGGTTAGTGCTGGAGATAGAAGTCAAAGCTTCTCTCAACAACGCGATTCCTTGGTTCAAATCCCGTACATTCTCTTGATTCCTAGAGAACCTCTTCAGAAGCATAGAACCCAGGTTATGCAGCTGGATGTACCTTGATGGAAAATCACTAGGTGTTACTTCCAGAGCAGTTCTGGCATAGGAAACAGATTCTTCCAGGTCCACCATCGAGCCCCTTATCATCGATCTTCTCGAGAGCACTATCGAAAGGTTACCCAAAACAATCTGAAGATTGGGAGAGTTCTTCGGTATATCCTTCAAGCTCATTCGTCCAAATTCAACAGCCTCTTCAAGATGAGCCAAGTCCCCGGTTCTGCTATGGAGAGAATCAAGGTAGTTAGAGTAGTTGCTGAGCTGTTCTGACCAATGAGGATGATCTTTACTAGCTTTCTCAAGATATCGCTTGACGACATTAATTGCTTCTTCGAGGTCCTTCGAATCGCCTGTCTCGTGGTACAGAATGTATATGGTGACGTTCAACTCTCTTATTCGATCCAGCCACTCAGGATCGTCTTCTGGCGTCACAGCCACAGTTTCTCGAGTTAATGTGATTGACTCCTGTAGCTCGCTCAAATTTCTCGTTTCTTCAAAGAGTTCGTAGAGCGTCCTTGCTAGTTGAATCTGTCGAGCTAGTTTATCTCGTTCTCGATCGTCTGCCGTTCGCAGATAGTGAGTCTCTACGGAGGCGACAGACAGTTTCGAGGTCCTCTAGCCTCCCTAAGTTGCCGTGCTTTGCGTCGTACAAGTCTGCTATCTCAAGCCATGTCGCAAAGGTATTCTGATCTTCTGACGACAATGCGATAGCTGTTTCTAAACTTTTGCAGCCACTTTCAAAGTCGCCATCGACTCTGAGAACAGAATACTTCTCCTTCAACAAGATTCCGAGATTAGCCATATGTGCCGCCTTTGTGGCAGATTCGTCCGGGAACTTTTCCAGCGAGCTCTTGATCAATCTGATAGCTTCATCGACATCATCTAGGTTTCTTGTGTGATAGAAATAGTCTCCTAACTGCAGTGCCAGCCAGTACGAGAACCTCTGGCGGTCTATGGAATCTGAGGGTGATGCCTCGATTGCTCTGCGTTCGAGTTTCATCGCTTCTTCAAGATCACCATAATCGTCAATCACTTCCTTGTACGTCTTATACAAGGCCCAGGCCAGCGTGTGCAATAATTTTGCATTGTCTTCGGTCGATGCCTCCAAGACTTTTCGTGCAGTCTGTATAATCTCTTCCAGTAGATCCGGGTCATACCCTTTCCAATCGGCTTTGCTGAATGGTATAACTACTCTCGGCTACGGCAGTTGAAGGGGCTGCTCTGCCTTGAGAGTTAGTAAATAACAATATCAATTGTAATTAATTTGAATTATTTTCCCCATCGTACAGGGGTAGACTTGATTTAACTGATGGGGGCTGATTTGAATTGTTTGAGCCAATTGAGTCCATCGGTATTTTGTCAAAGGCCCGCGACGCGACGAACGCATTCAAACTCAGGAGAAAAGTTGCTAGTTCTACTGAGCGTTTTCGAGGGTCACCGCGTTGTCTATTATCGAGGCAATAGCTACGAACCAATTGAAATAAACAAAGACTCCAACGATTCGCATATTCTACTCGGTTGGGGGTTATCCTCACCAAATATCAAAGGACCCAGGCCATTGCCGCTCTGGTTTGGCTGTTCAATTACCAGGCGACACCTCCAGCTGCTACCCCTCTCAGGAGAAAAGCTCTGGCAAGGCAGAATTCGGTCCTACCCTAGTGAGACTGCCTAAATGCACCCTTTGCATTAGTGGGTTCAGATTAAGCATGCAGATTGGAGGCCTGACACATTTATTGCCACAAAATGAAAGAGGCTTTGGCTCTTGTTCCATTTTCTTCCAACATATATCTAGGACACGTTTTGAGATATTGCAGTAATTGTTCTGCGCCTACTCTATCACTAAAAGTTTCTATATAGCTTGAGTATATCTTTCCTCCTGAAAATCTCTAGAGCAAGAGGTGAACATACCATATAACCGCGTGACTTTCTTTTCTAATTTGACGAGGCTTATATAACTCAATAGCCAGGCTCAGCATATAATGTCAATCCTCGGCATTGCGCTCCCTTTTCTCCGACCCTTTCTGGGTACCTATCTTGGCTTCATTATCGATACATATGCCTCCATCATGATGATTTTCCTTTTTATTGGTTTTCCTTCGGTACGCGAGCGGCTTGTATGAGTATTGCTAAGGGATGAACCCTTTTTCTTTCCCGGGGTTGGGACACTGTTCGTTCGCCATGTGATCCCGCGCGCCCGCCGATGGATGGGTAGCCTTCGCAGCTCAAATGATGTCCAGATCGCCATTGTTTTCTTCCGTATCGGTCGCACCGCCTGCAAGGCATTCTATGCATTCTTCGTTCGTGTTTCAACCCGGGAACAGTACACGTACATGCCCCTGTCGAATAGCTCTGACAGTAGTGAAATCCGCCTGATTAAGCTGCACCCCGGTTCTGGCGATGACCCTCTCCGAGCCGACATCTTACATGCTTCATTGGATCCGGATGTAGTCGGAAGGTATGAAGCAGTCTCGTACGCTTGGGAGGATGGTCATACAACAAACAAACTAGAAACACCGCGCGGTATTCTTCTCATCACGCCTTCTCTATTTCACGCATTGCATCGATTTCGATTGAAACAAGAGTCCCGTATACTCTGGGCGGATGCGGTGTGTATTAACCAGTCAGACAACGCGGAGCAGGCAAGTCAGGTGGCATTGATGAATGAGATCTATGCATCTGCTGCCTGTACACTGGTGTATTTAGGCCGTGAGGCCAATGGAAGCGAGATGGTCGGAGAGTTGTTAGTTCAATTTGCAAGGGCTAGCTTCTCCCTCTGCCGCTTATATGGAAGACATGGAATGGAAGTGTTGAGACATAATGGATCGATCTCACCTTCGATGACGGAGATATTCGAGGAATGTGGCCTTCCCGGCCTAGAGCATCCTGCCTGGAAGGCGCTAGCCAAGCTCTGGGGAAGACCATGGTTTCGGCGTGTGTGGGTAATTCAGGAATTTGTTCTCTCTCCGGATGTTCGCATGTTCTGTGGCGAATGGGAGGTCAGTTGGTCTGTATTCTATGTCGCTACGATCGACACATATATGACATCCTCCTTCTCGGTTGTTCCAGATATACCAAACGCATTCGATGACGCAGCAATGCACATGGGAACGGACGCTATGCACATGATGTGTGTGTACCGGCGATCTGCACTGTTAGAGACGTTACCCATCTCAGATGCTGATAGTATGCGAATGTTGACCATAAATTTGGACACAATGGTATTTGAGGAACAAGAGGAGTTTAACCTGGCGAGAAAGATGGATCCGAAACTGAGGCTACGGGTGGAGGTATCTCTTCTTGATCTCCTTGGGCTATGTGACAGGAGCAAAGCTACAAGAGCTCGCGATCATCTGTTCGCAGTACTTGGTCTATCCAGCGCGACTGACGACGACCTTATCCGGGCAGACTACTCTTCTACATTTGACGAGATAGTTAGGCGCTTCGGCAAAGCATTTGTACGCAGGGGGCAGTGTATGGACCTCTTATACCGAGCTCGATTGAACATTCAATCCTTGCGGTTTCCATCCTGGATCCCTGATTGGACCACCAAGTTCGCCTTCATGGGCGACGAAATTGACTATAGCAGCTTGGGGCTGCACAGTGGCGGGTTGTATGCCGCCGCTGGCAATACCCAGTGCGTATCGTGGGTTAGTGATGACCCAAAGGACGATTGCCTTACAGTTCGAGGGAGGTTTGTCGACAAGCTGAGCTGGGTCGGCGGTGACCACATCAAATACGGCCCCATACATGGCCTACTATACCGTCTTCAACAATCTTATGATATTATCGCGGAGCTTGAAGAAACTTCTGATTACTATGTGACTGGTGAGTCACTTAAAGATGTATGGTGGCGGATGCTGGTGGCGAACAAGACGAAGGGATTCGGACCTGTCTCTCCAGATTTTGGCATCGGACTACGTTCCAAATGGCATGTAATGCCCGCCTTGTGCAATTTGCTATTATCATTGCCTCCCGAGGAAGCCAAGGAACAACTTGTTGAAATTATAGGCCTTCCGTACTACAAGGCCATATACTCTTGTTACACTGTATACCAGATTGCCAAGACGGAGAATGGGATGATTGGTCTCGTGCCGCTCCTGGCAGAAGCTGGCGATCAGATATACGTCCTCAACGGTGGTGCAGTGCCATTTGTTTTGAGGAAAGGGAAGCGACTGCTGAATGGACGTCGGTTAGTGGGAGAATGTTATATCCACGGACTCATGAATGGCGAGGCGATACAGAGCGAATATGAAGAGAGAAATATCAGATTGTACTGATATGCGGTAGGGATGTATTACTATGCTGAGGGTCGGCGCTGTTACTCATGATGGATTTATTGACCCTCAACCACCAGTGAAAAGAGCTATAGCATGGGTGAAAGAGGTACCTTCCAGCGACACCAACAGGTATATAGTCGATATGATTGACTTTACGATACATGGTACCTCAGATGCTTGGTTCAGCATCAAGAAAATGTACTGGCCCGATGGTGTCAAGGTTACCAAAGATGGAATTCTGAGCGGAGGTGAGCCTATTCATCCTCATACCGACTTGATTTATCAAGACCAAGAGTCGCCCGGCATGTCGACCGCAGCAGCAATGGCCATGCTCCGCCAGAAAAGGGACGAAATTCGAAACGCATTTGCCAAAAGTTGGAAGAAGCTAGATGTGGATGTAATGATCGCACCTGCTTTCATAGGCCCGGCTTGCTTGCACGATACAGCCCTCGAGTAGTATCCACATATAATGTATCCTTAGTCCTAGACTTGGTGAACCAAAAACTAAATTTAAAATCCGTTACTGTGGCTGCACTGATGAGGTGAAGGGAATCTGAAAGGTAAAACGCATTTTGGACTTGCTGTTATATCTGTGCTGCGTCAGAAAAGACTGTTAAGCCATCTCGACTTCATGGGTGCTACTCTGGGATCTCAATGCACACTCTTGTCATTCATGCACCATGACTAATTCATTTTCAGCTCAAAAGCTTTATTAGGAAGCTGGTTAAAAACCAAGGTTTAAAACTCTCAGAGATTGTTGATCACTACTTCAATGGCTTAGCTCTATCACTGCCGAATAATACCCCGCTTCGAATATCTGCCAGATGATGATGTTGGGTTACACCTCTTATCGAGACTACTCTAGATGTAACCTTGGTTCGAAGTAACTATTATCTAAGCGGAGTAAACGGCGTCTTTTGGTTATGACGATCGTCATGGCGATCTTGAGCTACAAAAGCGAGCGATGCGCCTCTCCCAAGCACTAAGTCGACACACTGAAGTCAATTGCTGACAATGGCTCGCTTTCCAACTTGGGTTGCTCTGCTGAGCCTAATTGCGCAAGCTCATGGCCAACCATGCGATGTGAAGTACCCTCCTCAGACGAAGCCAGTAGAGACCAGGCAATTCAGCAAAAGCCGCGGCGCCGTTGCCTGTGAGAGTGAGATATGTAGTACGATCGGCATCAATACTCTGCGACAGGGCGGCAACGCGGCTGATGCGATGGTCGCCACAGTGCTTTGCGTGGGAACAGTCGGTAAGTTAATCATGTTACTATCGAAGGCGTTACACTGACACAGATATAGGCATGTATCATTCTGGCATCGGAGGAGGCGGCTTCATGCTCATTCACAAACCCGATGGCAAGAATGAAACCGTGCCCTACGAATTTGTCGACTTTCGCGAAACAGCACCTGCAGCAGCTACGGAGAATATGTTCAAGAACAACGTGAACGCCAGTATTTATGGAGGACAAGCGAGGTACCAAACACACTCCAGTGCTATGCCAATGACTGACGGCCTTCCAGTGGCGTACCCGGCGAGTTACGAGGTCTAGAACACCTGCACAAGAGCTATGGTCATCTGCCTTGGCCGAAGCTCGTCCAGCCAGCTATTGACGTCGCCCGCTATGGATTTCCAGTCAACAACGACACCCTCAAGTTCATGAAGATGACCTATACCAAGTCTGAGAACGAGAGCTTCCTGTTGAACGATCCCGCATGGGCAATTGACTTTGCTCCTGCTGGAAGATTGCTCAAATTCGGTGAGAAGTTGACACGGAAGAGATATGCCGATACGCTCGAGACCATTGCTTCCAAGGGAGCCAGTGCGTTCTACGAGGGACCCATTGCCGATGCGACTATCAGGACTTTGAAGCAGAAGAGCGGTATCATGACGACGGATGACCTAAAGAATTATTCCGTGGCGATTCGAGAGCCTTCCCAGATCAACTACCGAGGTGGAAAGATCACCAGCGGGTCAGCCCCTTCAAGCGGTGCCGTCGTCGCAGCTTCGTTGAACATTCTGGACGGTTATGACTTCCTCGGCGATCCCAGAAGAGTCAACGATAGCGCATATCTGCTTGACGAAGCATTCAAGTTCGGTTATGGAATGCGAAGTAATCTCGGCGATCCAACCTTTGTCAAAGGTCTGGGTGAGTACCAGGCTCAGATGTACTCCAACGATACGGCGCAGGAGATCCGCGCCAAACTTGACGGGCGTGCTCTTCAAGTTAAGGATTATGACCCTAGAGGTCTTGAAAGCTTGGATACTCCTGGTACTTCGCATGTCGTTGTCATGGACAATTCGGGACTTGCTATCTCCCTCACGACCACAATTAACCTAAATTTCGGTTCACAAGTCATTGTTCCCGAGACTGGAGTTATTATGAACAATGAGATGAACGACTTTAGTATCCCCGGACAGTCAAACGCTTTCGGATTCATCCCCAGCGAGGCCAACTTCATCAGACCTGGAAAACGACCTCTTTCTAGTATAAGCACCACCATTGTCGAAGGACCTGACGGGAAAGTCTCGTTGGTCACAGGCTCTGCTGGTGGCAGTCGAATCATTACTGCTACTGTCCAGGTGGTTCTGAATGCGCTAGAGAGAAACATGACTGTTCATGATGCCCTAGCTGCGCCTCGCCTGCATGATCAACTTGAACCGCGACAAGTCACCTTCGAATATGCTTATGACAACTCCACGGTTGCTTATTTGAAGGAGATTGGTAATAATGTCACGTGGGTAGCACCCGGACAAAGCACTGCTCAGGCTCTGAGGAGGTTACTGGATGGGACATTTGAAGCGGCTGGTGAGCCTAGACAGGCGAACTCTGGAGGATTCTCAACTTAACGAAAGTCTGATATCGAATGTCTAGTTCAAGGTAGTAATGTAACCAGTATCTGTCTACCCAATCATAGAAGTCATGGACCTGGCCTCTAAAGTTTCCATACTTCCAAGTTGCGATATCGAGCAACAAGAGGATTCATCTGTCTGAAGCCAATCCGTCCACCACGAATAACAGGCCCAGTCGATCGGTCCACATCTTCCCATGAGAATAATTCCAATCCGTTTATCGAAAACTTGACATCGCGCTTGTCGTGAATAACCTCAACCTTGTAATAAGCGCCCTGAGTATCCTCCACATTCGGCAGCGGGTCCGCTCCTTGCGCAACAAGATGAAATCCAGGCGACTTGCGCAAGTTGGCTAGATGAAAAGCCCTCTCCTCAGGCCATCGACGCCGAAAGTACGAAGCGTGCAGCGTTCGGATATCGCTGGAGTGATACTGCGGGTAAGATCCATTCCGGGGCTTGAGATCCTTGTCGAAAATACTTCCGCCGTCTTTGGCGGCTGCTGCACCGAAGAATATGATAGCTAGGCCGGGCTCCTCGATAGGTGAAAACTCCCAGGTGATGCGGATGCGCTCAGGAAAGACTTCAGGGACCCAGTAGACAAAGTCTCCCGGAGCAGCTAGTTCGAGAGTGTTGTTGGAGACGGTGGCCTTGACGGGACCTTCGGCAACCCAATCTGCAATTGCCTCGGTGCTGTTGAAAGTATTTCTGTAGAGAAGCTTTTCGGCCATGGCGGAAGCGGCCAGGAGGGGGTAGAGGAGGAGACTTCGCATGTTGTTTTTCCAAGGAGAAGTATTTCCACTGACTCTCGACAGTGGGTAATTGGTAACTGTCCACGATTATATAGGGTTTTATTTATTTATTTTGCCATATTAATTCGTGATGTGCTCATACTTTAATTTCCCTCTTCGGGGGCAGATGCGCCGAGATGAGCAGATGCGATCCTATCATCTTCAAGGATCTGACAGCGGATATGCTACTGCATTGAGTTTAGGTACCACCATGCAATGCAATTCGATCATTCGGCAGCAAAAGACGTGATTTAACGGTGAGTGCCGATCCTTTCTGATGAATTGACTTTATCACCAAATTTCCACCAATGGAAGCGTTCCTGTTCTTGAATGCTATTCCGAGTCGTAAGGACTCATGGAAATAACACCTATAACTTCCCCGTTGTTCAGTAGCCAAGATAAATAGATGATAATAAATGAGAACCATTTTATGAATTCTTTCTTAGCATTAGTAGAGGAATTAATAAGACTCGTAAACAAATAAGCTGAGCTATGCATGAAAGAAGGTAAGATCAAGATTGTCGTTAATGAACTCCAAGTCTTGTGGAAGCTATGTCGTTTTCATTAGTAGAAGTCATAAATAAGCTAATTACTCTGATTGGCATACCATCGAGCTTATGAGATCGGTCATAATATCAGAACCCATATAGTTCGCATCAACTGATAGCTGATTCCCACGTGACTCGCCATCATCACTACGACTCATCAGTACGAGGTGATTCAGTGCATCTCAAGAGAATATGCTTACCAAGAGTCAGGAAATGGCTGCTCTTGTCGAATAGCTGCCTGACGTGTCTGCAACAGGGTGCAGAGTTTAATTACTCGCTCTGCTGCCTCTTTATCCGATTTTACGGATGACTCTGGCCACAGCTTAAATTTAAGTAAACCAACTGTCATACTAACGATATAATATTCGTTTAAGCCGTTGAAGGTGAGTGAAATCCGCTTTTCAAGAATTTTCAAGACCTTCTCAACATTAGCGATGAGGAATGTTGAAATCTCGGGAAATATTGTTATCGTGGACTGATCGCAACCTTGATAATTATAAATTATCATTCAACTTTTTATTAAGGGAGAGGCCAGGTTGACTCACCTTGTGATCCGTTATTGAGGTCAATTTCATGGCAGATGTCCAGTGCCGCAAGTATTAAACCCGTCCTGCAAGCTTGTTCTGGTAATGCCTCGTCGTCCAAAAGTCGTTGGTAGTAGTCAAGAATTTTCATAGACGCCTCTAATCTTGCGCGTCGACAGATGAGAGCTTTAGATGAGGAGGTAGTTTGGACTAGGAAGTGGAAATGCAGTAAAAGCATATACTGGTGCAGAACGATGCCCAGCATGCTCTTTATGTATGTGGCGGTCTGATGCTGTCGTGGATCAGCTTGAGGATTATTAAATGTTGGAATATCTCGAAATGCCTGTCTTAGCTCCTCCTCAAGTTCTAAGACCTTGTCGAAATCGGCCTCTTCGCAACATCCATTGATGAAGGCGCATATCCTTAGCCTGACAGGCAAAGAGCGATAGAGAAGTGCTTGGAAAGAAGTGTTTGTCAGTGTAGTAATTGGCATGCCGGCTAAAGAGTCTTGCACAGCCTCCTCAAGATTTTCGTCGTCGACATTAAGTGTTGGCTTGACGTTGAAGTCTCCTGTTCGGACACTTGGAGGCATTCCACGTTCTATAGATGCCTGGAGATCGAGTTCAACAATTGTTACCCATAATCGTCGACGCATCTCCCGACAGAATAACGGTATCCTGGCTGCAGAGACAACCTCGCGATGATATCCTGCTGCCATAGCCCACCGGACTAATGTCCCAGAAGAGGTCCACAAGGAACCCTCCTTAATAAAGTTTGCACGCTTAGCAATCAGCAAGAGGGAGTGGCTCACCAGGATGTCCCAGGAACGAAGAGACTGGTTCGACTGAGAACTAACCCATGCTTCTGCTGCCTCAACCCATTTAACAACGTGATCATGAGTTGTTTTGTGGCTGAATGCGTCGATGCATACTCCAGGGTGATAGCTTGCAGCAGTGGCGGCTACTAAAAGCATCTGTACAAGAAAACAGGCCGGAGTGCTGGGACGATCAGTCCAGTAACCGTTATACCTGGCGATGAATGTTGGTATATGCAGAACCCGGTGTGTTATCTCATATCGGTCAATATAAGTTTGAACCAGTACATCCATGATTGACTTTGTGGGTATTTGCTGTCTCAAAGTATTCTCTAGCGCATCGTCCTTTAAAATCGGTCGACGCCGATGTTTGTCGTTGAAAGGAGCATAAACCTCATCGCGAAGGGTGTTGATGGAAGGATATTGGGTCTTGATTTTAATGATGTATGGACGAAGATCGGTGAACTATTTCTAATAAGGGGAATGCTACCTTTTGGATAAAGTGAGAACATACCTGCTGGTAAAGGTTCAGGGGATAGCTATACCCGTAGAATTTGGTACAATTCCCCTGTCCTTCCAAGTGTGTCATATCGACTTCCCGGATGGCAGAGGTCGCATGCCTGCCGCGAATCTCTGTTGACGAATTCTCTATACAGGAAGATGCTGCCGCACCGTCGGCCCCTCCTGAAGGGCCATCGTTGAACAACCCGTCAACCGACTTAGGCCGTCCTTTGTTTCCACGGTAGGTGCAGTCATCGGCATTTCCGGCTTTTGAGCAGCGGCTGCAAGATGGGAGCTCCCTGCCGCACTTGAGTTTACGTTGATAGCACTGGATACAGGCCAGTGGGGGGCGTCTTTTCTTGACCCCTGGTTTAACCACGCGTTGCGACATGGGCAGCGGTCGGTTCATTGCAGCGGATATGAGGAACCTGAGAATTCTGAAATCATTTAGTATGGGAAATGAGAGATTAGAAATTGCCGAGCACAACATCTTATGTTCTCTCGTGTGACATCGGATGTCGGGCTCGGCATATTCGGGGGCTCGGTGATCTCTAGGCTCGGGATTTTCAACCGACTAAACTTGGAGGCTTAGTCTAACTCCTCCCTGCTTACCTCAAGATGACCGTTGTCGTGCTTATGTGATGCGTAAATCTCCAGTCAGTTTGGAGAAACTGGGGTAAAGGAGTGTTGCCCCAGATTCTACATCTGGGGTACTTACAAAGTATATAAAGTGTAAGTAGACCCTAACGCAACAATGCTTCTTACCCAAGTCAAACATTGATGATTTTATCTCATCTATTGATATCCTCAACAAACATTCATTGAAGCTACTCAAACATGTTGCCAGCTGAAGGTGATCCTCTCACAACTTCTGTCATCTCCTCCTTCGGGCCCAACAGCTCACCCAGAGCTCGGGAGATCTTGACGGGGTTGATCCGATATCTCCATGCCTTTTGTCGTGAAGTCAATCTCACCACAGAAGAGCTATACATTGCCACTGAGGCTTTGAACAGGTCTGGTCAAATGAGCAACTCTGAGAGGAACGAGACCTTGTTGATCTCAGACTGCCTTGGCGTTGAAGCGTATGTTCAAATCTTCTACGTCTCTACACTCTTTGGCACGGCCTAACTATTCTAACAGACTGGTCGATGCCCAGACACAGGGGATGTTGGAGCAAGATAACGGAACCAACTCTTGCATTCTCGGCCCATTCTACGTCGCTGATCCTCCTCGATATGAGAATGGAGATACTATTATCCAGAAGTATCTCGGGGGAGAAGTAACATACTTCCATGGTCGAATATTGGATGCTGATACCGACCAACCCGTGGCAGGTACGTTGAATTGGTCGTTCAACATCATGTCATAAACGACGCTAATAGAAACTGTAGGTGCTTCTCTGAACGTATGGGAGTGTGCAGTCAACGGGCTATATGACCAGCAGGATCCTAACCAGCCATCTGGAAACATGCGCGGCATGTTCACCTCCGATTCAGAGGGCAAATATGCTTTCTACTGTATCAAGCCGGTTCCTTACCCTGTTCCTTACGATGGCCCTGCTGGGGATATTCTCAAACTTATGGATCGCCACCCTTACCGAGCTGGTCACATCCACTTCATGGTGACCAGAGATTCTTACAACCGTCTCATTACACAGGTCTTCCCCGAGGACGACACTTATCTTGACTCTGACTCGGTGTATGCCGTCAAGTCAGATTTGCTGTTGAAGTTTAAACCTTACGGCTCTGGCTCGCTGAAGACTATGAGGGGTAACGATGTCGATGTGAAGTGGGAAGTTAACTGGGATTTCAGAATCAAGAAGCAGAAATATTAGGTAATTATCTTCTAATCTAGGCTTTAGCTATTTATTATATAGTTAATTATATTCTCTTTATTGCAATACCTCTTAATTAATAGACTTTATATACCTAAAAATAGCTAAGAAATATTTAATTACTAAGATATCCTAAATGTAAGAATGCTAGTTTATAAGGGGATAGGCTATACTTCTACTCCTATAATTTATTTAATAATATGGCTATAAGTAGTTCTCTAGCTAAGAATATTAACATAAACCTCTAAGCCAGCTTGCGGCAGTAACAGCCACTAGGAGCATTTATACACGATATTTCATCACAACGGGCCCAATCAGTCTTGTGCGACGGAAGGCCTTAAGAAGGTCTTGGCGTTAAGGCTGAATAAACAATCTGCAAGTCAGCCCCCTTTTTTCAGCTTTGCTACACAAGGCAGAAATGATGCGGAGAAATGCTCCTGTTAAGGCGGTCATAAAACCGCGCATTTCTACAGTATTCATGCTACCTCCAAGATTGCATAACTTTTAAAAGATATTAAATGGCAATGTAGAGGATGCAGACCACCCAAGATTGACTCTCTTCTCTTGCTTGGCCCACCTCACCGAATATGGCGGACCCGAACGAATCGTCGCACTTTTTACTCCAGCCATTGAATTTTGACGCATCTACATCATCTGCGCCGAGCACTGGAATGACTGGATATAATATGTGCCAAAGTGACATCTCCGATGGGAGACACGACGAAGCCACAAGAGGCTGGTACGATGAACACAGCACGGAGGCATGTACCGAGAACACCAGCCTTTTGATTCGGGAGACTGGAAAAGATGATAACGAGAGCCTACCTAAGAAGCATCAAAGAAACATTTTCCTGGTCTGGAGCCTTGAGCTGGCCCTTCTATTACTGGCAACAGGGTTGCTTGGATCCATTTTCGCTATCCTCAGCGCGTACAACACTCATGAGATGCCTGATTGGAATGGCGAGACAGGAGTTGGTATCACACTCAACGCTCTTATTGCTGTGATAGCTACCATCTTCCGCGCAATCCTAGCCTTTGTGGCCTTGGAGGTCTTGGCCCAGCTGAAATGGGACTGGATCACAAAGACATTCAGGCCCGTGGGCGATATGCAGCGCTACGGTGATGTGTCGCGGGGCGCATGGGGCTCGCTGATGCTGCTTCCAATTGTCTTTAAGCGCCAACCGCAGGCCATTGTAGCCGTGGTAGTCGTTGTTGCTTCTCTGGCCATTGGACCTGTCACTCAACAGACCATACAGCCATACTATTGCGCCCAGATTGCTCCAGAGCGGTCGGCGACAATCATTGTGGCTAACAAACTCGATAAGGGCTGTATCTACTACCAGGAGCGCCCGTCATCATGGAAGCTTCATGTCGATTAGAAGCAGCAATTCAGGATGTAGTGGTTAATCCTTCGTAGAGCTCGAATATTGACAACCTCTTCAATTGTCCTTCGGGAAATTGTACTTCTCAGACCCACCCTGACAATCCTGGGCAGCCGGACCAGGAGCAGGTTTCACACGCCAGCCTGGGTATGTGTAGTCGCTGTGAGGACATATCAAAGCTTGTACAAATCAGAACGGAATACAATTCCGAATCCGACTTGTATCAGGCCATACTGAGTATGGACGTGCCATCTAATCTCAATGAGTCGGATCGTATTGAGATTAGATCAGGTGACTCAAGCCAAAGCGCGCGGTATTTTGAGTCGAAACTTGAAAAGGTCTTTTGGTGGGCGGACAAAGCATTACCAAAAGACTTTCTCAACACTGCCCGTTGGTCAGCCGCGAATTTGACTATGCTAGCTTTCTCGCAGCAAAACCGTCAAGATGAGACTGATGGCAGTATGTTGTGTCCGCTAGTCGGTGACAGCGGCAAGGCGAAGGGTCCTGTGGCCTGGCGGCAACCAACTGGTTATATTGCAGCCACGTGCATCTTGTATCCATGCGTCAAACACTATGCTGGCACTGTACGCTCAGGGTCTCTTTCAGAAAGGGTCGTCAGGAGCACGCCGCTGCGTGTACAAATTCCCACAAACCTTGAGGACTCATACGCTGGCAGGGCAGCTAATATGGTTGCTCAACCCTTGCAGGGCGTTCAATATCCTTGTTTTGTCAACGGTACACTACACACCTCAACAAATATGACTGCGAAATCCGAGAAGTTTCCAGAAGACGCCAGACAAAGTGTTTTCATTCATCTCGAAGACTGGGAGAACCATAGCCTTCAGGAATCGATTGGCTACCGCAACGTCACTGCTCCTCACGAATGCGTCGTGACACTGAGGCACCTGTTCATCTATTCTCTTCGGCGGAGTCTCTCTGAGACCTTCAACGCGTATTACAGACCTCAAGGCTACCAGACTAACTTTGTATCCTGCTACACGGCTACCGAGGCTAGCTCATTACCTATGGCCTCTATTCTACGCCCTCGTCCTACAAGCATACAGACTATCTCAGAGTCGATGAACTCCATGTCCATGCGCATAACGACAGAGTTTAGACGTGCCGGGTTGGGCGCCTATGGCAATTCCACAGCGGTTGTTGAAGGACAAGGTTTGGAAGACAGATAATGTCTCAGGGTTGCCTGGGAATGGCTGGTGTTGCCAGCAGGACTCTCACTGATGTGCATGGTATCGATGCTTGGGCTTATCATGAGTGACCTGCTATCTAGAGGCAACGCTGTCGTATGGAAGGGTTCTATTCTGCCATTTTTGTTGAACTATAAGGTGCCTACATTAGAAAAGATGAGCTTAGAGGAGCTGGACTTGGCTGACAAGAAGTTCGAGATTAAGCTAGAAAGCTAAGGTGAAACTTTATTCAAAACTGCTTTATCTTCAACCCAGACGATGGTGACTTAGGCGGCAAATGTTTCTTTGTAGCTGTTAGTTATTGAACAAAGTCTCTCGATCAATCTTGTCCAACAACTTCCCATCAGTGAACCAAACATCCATCGCCCTGGCCATTCCCTTGACGTAAGCCCGAGGAGCATCATCTGACATAGCCTTGACAAGCAGGTCCTGCGACATTTCGTTCGTGTTATCTGCTCGGCCAGTGGCTACCACCTTCTCCTCATATCGGCGAACCGCAAGATCCAAGTCATCGGGACTCGCCTGAATTTCATGGAAAAGGTCCAGAGCGTCCAGCATAGCCAAGTTCGCACCTTCTCCAGCAAACCATGACATAACATGCAGAGAATCTCCGATCAGTGTTAATCCTGGATGGTGGTCGTAGCGTAGACCGAGGGGCATACGATACTGAGCACGGGGAGTCATGTTCGTGTCGACATTGCGAATGACATCCTGGAGACGAGGATCCCAGGTGGAGAAGAAGTTATCAATCAAATAGTCGGTCATTTTCTTCGCATCATTCCAATCGTAGGAGGGGTCCTTTGAGTGCCAGGTCTCTTCCACTCGAAGACAGGGGTAGACTCGCACGCTATCGTCCCCATTGCGTTGGATGAAAATGCCACTGCCTTCCGAAAGAAAAAAGGAGGTGCCACGGCCGATGAACTGTCCAAGTTCTTGAAATCTCTCGTCCACATCGGACACGCGGCAGTCGATGACAGTTAGACCCGAATACTCAGGCGTCCAACTTGTCAGAAGCGGTCGAACTTTGGACCAAGTTCCATCCGCTCCCACAAGAAGGTCAGTCACAACAGGCTCAGGTTGGTTATCAAAAACCAACTTAAACCTGCCGTCCTCTTGCGGAACAATCTCAGAGAGTCGATGATCCCACTTGATATTCTCCGGGTCGAGCGACTCAATAAGAATCTTGCGAAGCTTTGCACGGTCTATTTCCGGACGTCCAACCGCATCAGCAGTTGCTTTGTGTAATAACCAAGCAACGGCCTTTTTATCGCCAAAACGGTAGTCTTGATCATGATAGCGCGCGTACTTTTTGAACTGCTCCTCAAGACCAGCTTCGAACAACGCTGCTTGGCCAGACTCTGGATGAAGGTCGAGAGAACCACCTTGGAAACGAGAGCTAGTGGACTTTTCTCGCTCGAAAATGGTAAAGGGGATCGAGTGGTGCTGCAGCAGAGCTGCGAGGCTTAGACCAGATGGTCCTGCTCCAACGATGGCGATGTGCTTGGGCATGATGATAATTGTATGATGTTTTGTTTTGAAGTAGAATGTATTGGATCTGTTGGTGTTTGAAGCGTTGTATCCCACAGAAACGCAATCAAAGAGACTTATATAGATTTGATTTTTGGTCTACTATTTCGATCATCCGGCCAACCTATGCAACGTTGAACATGACATGAGGCGCTTCCTCGCGAAACTTCACCTAATGAATCACCAATTGAGCCGATTTCTCCATTTTCGGTGATATCTATGATGTGTAACACAAAACCCGGCATCCGATGATATCGGCATTTTCGGCTTCACTTCTCTCAACTCGGCCTTTTTTATCTCGGCAAATTTTATCTAACTTTGGCTCGGTTACTATGAAAATGAACATATTAAATTAAAAAGCCACAATAATCAAGCATGAGTGCTTTGAATGACATGAAAACCCGCCACCTGACTTCATCATGATGCAGAAACTCACAACACATGTTGTTATTGTCCCAGCATCATTTGCTCCACCATCACTATACTCAACACTGGTTCAAAGCCTTGTAGAATGTGGCTTTAGCACAACAGTCATCGATCTCCCTTCTGTGGGATTTCGCGACCCATTGCCAGCTGCATCTATGGAAGAAGACGCGGCGCATATCAGATCAACTACAACGAAACTAGCTGATAATGGCCATGAAATTGTCTTGTTGATGCACTCTTACGGTGGAATATGCGGTACAGAAAGTACCGTCGGAGTTTCAAGGACCGAGAGACAAGTCGTTGGGAAGCCGGGCGGTGTGGTCCATCTCGTTTATATCAGCTCCCCTGTACCTGAGATCGGAGGGTCAGTTCAAACGATGATTGGCGATAACATGCCCCATTTCATGAAACTTGAGGTAAAAGTCAACTCATTAAAGATCCAAGGTGATAGTTAACGGTTGAATAGGGAGACTATCTCATATCTGAGCCCAAAGGCTGTGCGAGCGTCAATTTCTCAGACCTTTCGAAAGCCGAAGCGTTGACGTATGCGAAACAAATGACAGCACATTCAGCGCTGAGTTTTGCCGGGCCACTTCAAAACGCAGGATACTTGAGTATCCCCGTTGCATATATAGTTTGTGAGAAGGATATTTCTGTCCCGCCTGATGTCCAGAGATCTGTCATTGATATGATATCTAAAAAGAGCGGCCGAGAGGTTATCACATTTTCTTGTGATTCTGGACACTTTCCAACTGTCAGTATCCCGGGCAAAGTAGCTTCTTTTATTAACAAGGTTGCTGCTAAAAGCCTTCGAGAGTAGTATTTATGTAGTTCTGTGAATCGATCAATTCCCGATGCTTTTCAAACGATAACCCGATGGTGTTTCCAGTGAGTAACAATGCTTAACCTCTGGTGCTGCTGTAGATCATGATGCATCTGAACTGAGACGACAGGTTCCGCATATAGCCCCAGTAACAACTATCCATATCTATGATGATGTCAAGTTTGGTCCTGAATTTCTGCATGTGCATGTGCACTCGTAGGTATGAGGTCATGTTGCTCTTTCAACATGACCGTAAACTCGGCATTTTGGCGACGAAACCAATGACCCACGATCATCTGATATTTTCCGACGTCGGATCGGCTAGGGGTTTTCAAATTCAATCTAAGAGGTGAATGTCCAGTTGTCCGGTCTGAATATGCCGTGGATATACCAGGAGTATGCCGAGAAGAATACTCCGAGATAAGCCGGTTTCCTACTAGTCTTGTCATACATCCGAGAATCTACCTCTGACATATTTCAACGTGATTTAGATTGAGTTTTGTCCAGATTATCCTGACTACTGGCTCAAGAATGAACCTAGTAGGTAAACTACACAATGGCTGACAACACTCGCGACCTGCACACACTCAGTACCCTCGCGGGCAAAACAGTGATCGTAACAGGTGGCGCAAACGGTATAGGAGCCGAGACTGTACGACTTTTCAACTCACATGGAGCGAATACAGTCATTGCCGATCTCGAACACACTCGTGCTGAAGGTGAAGCCGTCATTCGATCCTTGCAGCATCCTACCTCTGCGCTATTCATCACAGTCAACATTCTCATCTGGGATCAGATTAAGGCCCTTTTCTCCCAATGCATACAACATTTCGGCAAGATCGACATTGCTGTAGCCAATGCTGGCATAATGGAGAGTCAAAGTCTTTTCGATATTGATAACGTCGACGAGCAGGGAGAATTACGCGAATCAACAGAAGGGTTTCGCGTGATTGATGTTAACCTCAAAGGAAACATTAACAGTATGTATGCTCTTTACTCCTGATTCCCTCCATGTTTGGTCTTTCTATGGCTGACCCATTACTCTCTTGAAGCGTTGCGGCTCGCACTTCATCACATGCGACACAACAAACCAGTTTCGCCTGGTAGTTTGAGAGGGTCTGTGATTCTCGTTACTTCAACATCAGGATACTTTGGAACAACTGGCGTAGGGGCATACATCACATCCAAGCATGGGCTCACGGGCCTACTTCGAGCGTCGCTGCAAGTTGCTCGAAATTTAGGCATCGGAGTCAATGCTGTTGCTCCGTTCTTCACTCCAACGCCTACCTTCAAAGAGTTGGCTGAGAAATGGAAGAATTCAGGCCTCAAGTCGAATACCCCAGGAGACGTCGCTCAGGCTATCGCCCTTGCCTCTACGCAGAAGGAGACTGGAAAATGCTACATGGTACGTCCAGCTTTCTTCATTCGCCCGTCACTATGCTCTAACTTCGGTATAGATCGTTGGGCGCAAGTCGGTAGAAGTCGAAGATAGTAGAAACGCGCTTCTTGAGCTGTGGCTTGGACGAGAAACTACAGAGTCGTTGCGATCTGCTAGCAAACTCTTCGAGGCCAATGGCTATCCATTACCTAAAACTTGAAAGGCAAGGAGAACCTTCTAAGAGCAGTGGCTCAGAGCTTGTGTCCACCCCATATCGTAGCATAAATAACTTTAATACTTAAAGCAACTTTATTTATTTTATGTTTATATTTACAAACTGTTATATGCCAGGAATATCTGTAACATGTTTTGTTTTCCTGTCCCTGAGTTTCAGATTCAGGGTAGCTACCGAGTCGTTTTCTGGGGACAGCCGAGCTTGGCACAACCCCCACCCCAGCATGGTAACGTCAACTTGCAGACTCAGTTGTTATCCAATCGGAAGGCAAGATGGCCGAGCGGTCTAAGGCGCTGTGTTCAGGTTTGATAAGAACTAGCAACGATTCGCAGTCTCGAAAGGGGCCTGGGTTCGAATCCCAGTCTTGTCAGATTCTTTTTTGCACATCAGACGATCAAGCTACTCTGTATGTTCACGATGCGAGGTACGTGCCAGGGTCGTCATGACTTGCTGTTGTGGCTTGTATACTCATACGCAAACGGATACAGGGATGCAGGGATACAGGGCATAAGGTGGCTGTCAAGCCACTGTCAATGTCCAATTGACATTTTGTCATGCCATTAAAACTATTGCTAGTCTTGATAACAGTTAAATTGCAATGTGTCTAATCTCGATAGCTGATATTTCCTCAGCGTGGAATGTCGAATAAGACATGCACGTGCAGATGACGATAAAAACGCGCAACAACCATAATTATTGAGTTAAGCGCACACGTGCTTCAAAACAAGAATATATGGGGGCGAGTGCTTGGCGCCAATTAATTTCATTCCAACAAGCCCCTTGCAACGCGCGGCGCTTTCGGATTTAGCAGTCATACACCGGACAGGGGACTTTATCTTAGTGCCAAACCTTGTTTTCCCCCCGTAAGCCCAAGCCCAAGGCACTTGGTGCTTCATCTTTGTGTGAGAGATGCTGATGCCAAGAACCCCCCCTCGTAGAGTGGTCATCCAGCCACAATTCCATGACGAACTTGCCAAGTCTGGGTGCTACTTAAGAATCCCGGTGGCCACTTTATGTTTCCTTCCCGTTAAACATCCATCTCTTCGGTCTTCTCACCATGATCTTCTCTAGTATATCGCTCCTCTCGTTGTTATCGGGCGCACTGGCCAGCGCTGTCCCCCAAGGAGCGAATACCTGGAAAACTTTACCTTCTATCCCCATTGCTCCCCGGCAAGAACATGGTGTCGTAGCACTCTCGGAAAAGACCCTTGCAATCATCGGTGGAATCGTTCCCAATCGTGAAGCCAATGGCTACGAGACGACTGCTATGATGCAATTCTTCAATACGCGATCGAATTCATGGCGGCGATACGTCACTGAGGCGCCAGTGAAGGTTAATCATCCCAATGTCGCTGCAGTCAATGGCAAGATTTACCTTCTCGGCGGACTTTCAGATATCGACAATGGCGCTTGGCGAGCATTTCCAGACTCATGGGTCTACAATCCCGACGTCGACGAGTGGACGGAGCTCGACTCAGTCCCTGAGAGTGAAGAGCGAGGTAGTGCGGCGATTGGTGTTTATGGAAACATCATCTACATGGCTGGAGGTATGCGCACCTTGGAGCCAATTGGACCAGGCGGAGAACAAGATACCGTCGATTTTGTCTCTGCTTTCAACACCAAGACTTCACAATGGGTCGATCTTCCTTCAGCCGCAAAGAAGCTCCCCGAGGGTCGCGATCACGCAACGGCCTCCATTGTCGGAAACAAATTCTACGTTCTCGGCGGTCGTCTCCGCGGCCAGCGCAACGTAAAGGACACAGTCTTCATTCTCGATCTCGAGAACCTAGAAGCTGGCTGGACAACCAGCGAAGGCAGGATGCCTACTCCCCGCGGCGGTGCTGTTTCCGGCACAATTGGCACCAAAGTCTACGTTTTGGGCGGAGAAGGAAACACAGCTCCCGAGTCTGAGGGCATGTTTGACCAGATTGAGGCCTTTGATACAAAGACCGGGAAGTGGGAGGAGCTCGGTACTATGAAGTTGCCAAGACATGGAGGTGCGGCTGTTGCGATTAAGGGTGGCATTTACCTTCCAGGTGGAGGCATAACGGAGGGAGGTTCTCCGGTTGATACCCTGGATGTCTACTGGCCGTAGCCAGACATTCGCTGCTTTTTATACGTGTATTTCCAGCGTTTAATGATTAATGACTCTTGACAGTATTCACCCTGGTGATTTCGGGTTCCGAGTGACGTTTCTTGTACGTCGCTGTTCACGTAAGCCGCAAGCGTAAGCAGAATTGTCGATCCAGCAAAGTAAGGTTATCCTTTCTATAATGCTTAAGAGAATTGAATAACCTTCGTCTAGCATAATACGTATGACGAGGTAAGGCGCGCGATCGCTATTGGGATAATTATAGAATAGTTGATTATGCCTATATGTCTGGGTTGATAGATCTGGACTTGTTGGATTGCTATTATGATAAGATGATGAACCGAGAGACGGTATTTAGTATTGCTTAATGTTTAGCGCCTCGGTCTAGAGCTGGAAAAAAGGTCTGGTGCGCAAGCTAATCAGATATCTAAAACGACCAACGGAAATAACCTATCTGAAGATCAGGGAATTTCGCAGTCATGCCATCGACAGTACATTTAGAATACTCAGGATAAGAGAAGACCTCCTTGAATCCAGAATCCTTGTATGTCTTGTCCACCGTCTTTGAACATGGCATAGCCATCGTCGGAAGCTTACTCCACTGCTCGAAAGTGACAATGTCAGTCTCTATAACAAACTTTCCGTTCATTGCAGACAAATAAGATAGTTGCCCCTGGGTAGAGCCGATGGAACTAATGACCCTGAATAGGTAGTTACCATCGTAGTTCTTGAAAATCAGCTCTTGCATCGCTTCCAACTTTTCAAGCACCTCGCGATTTTCTTCCTTTTCGCTGACATTAAGCTCTAGCTCGATCTCGTCAAAACTCATCGAGCGCAATTTATTTTCCTCTTTGGCAGTCGAGATAGCAAAGGTGAGGTTATTGGCCAAGAATTCCTTGAATGGATCCAGCTGAGTCTTGATATCGTTTGATAGATCTTTGACACGTTTGGCCATTGGAAGAAGCTGAAAAAGATCCTTCACTGTTTTCACCTTGCCGTTCTTGAACAAAGCTACAGTGGCGGCCTCGTCGAGAAGATCTCTAGCTTGGCTGGAAGCATTTGCTTGTCGTTTAAGGAGATTGTTGAGCTTTCCACCTAGATCGGCCGGAAAGCGGAGATTCCCAAGGTAACTAGCCGCAGCGATGTTGCTGTTGGCTGGACAGAGTTAGAACACTTCTACTTTGGGATATTGAGGTTTGAAGCACCCACCTTGTTCCATAAATGACGAGACGACCGGTCCCTTACAGCTACCAAGCTTTTCGCAGCTGGCGTTGATGGATTCAACTTGAGCCTGTGCCAGGGACACATACGACATGAGGTTTGACAATGCATCCCTTTGCTCGACTGAAGTGGCGTTCATCGATGTTAAGATTCCCCAGTTGCTCAGAACACCCTTGAAACCGCCTTCAATATTGTTTCTGAAGCGGCTAAATACATATTGGACCGCCTCTATAATCTGCGTCGAGTTGCAGGAACCTTTTTCACACGATTTCATTCCTGCAATGATTTTGGCATACATAGGCACGTCCATCTGATGAAATGGTTAGCATTGAAATGTTTCAGAGCGATCTACGCACCTCGAATGCTTTGATGGGCGTCCCTTGCGCTTTGATTGAATTCATGGCGTCAGACCAGCCATTCTCTATGGTGAGACCTCCGTCCCGCAGACACTATTACTATCAGTTCGTAGGACTAGAAGAATAAGGAACAGGAAACTTGCTGTCTCTAGGCCGGGAATCTCATCAGCAACCTTTGCATTCGCCTTGGATATAACTCCCTGGGAAATGGACTTGGCTTGTGTAGTAAAACTCAGCTGTTGAAGGCGAGGGAAGCATTTACAGATAGCCTCAGAAGACTTGATGAAGTTGTCGTCTTCAGATTGACCCAGAACATTTCGCACAGTTTGGCATAGGTCAACCTGTTTGGTCACAACCTTGAGTCCTGTAGGCACCCGCTTCGTTGTTATGTCATATCCTGTTTCCGATGAGAATAACATTCCTGATAAGGTTGAGTTGGGAAGACACTTACCAGAAACACAGGCCATTACATCGCACGTTTTAGAAGGTTCCTTCTTGGTTGCACAGGGCTTTTTCTCCTTTTTCTTGGTTTTGCACTTGTTAAGCTATCGATAGCGCATGGTCAGCTGGAATGCCTGCGACTTTCTGGACCTACGTACCTTTTTCTCTGTGACTTCCTTTGTATTTACAGTAAACCCAGTTTAGGAGAACTTGAACTTGCAGGTCTCTGAGAGGGTGCTTTGTGCGCAATGTGCCAGAAGGACATATGACAGCAACTGTGCGAGGAGGATATTCATCTTCATGATGACTATTTTGAGAGATCAGGTGAATGGGTATTGATGCTGAACCAGAAGGCAAGTACAAGGAAGCAGTATCGATTTAAGTAGACTTGCCACGATCTTGCCTCGATCTTGCCTCAAAATCAATAATGCTGACCGTTACTATTTCCGGATTTCACCGCTGTGCTGCGCAGCTCTGGCCCAAACAATGGCATTTACAATAAGCATGATCTGGATTGCAAAGCCAGTCAATAAATGGAATTCATTACCAATGACTATGATCCAGGCACCTCTAGACAGGTCAGCCCTATCATGGCTTGCGCCACATACTATCAAAGCGTTCTGAACATGGTGATAGTTAGTCGGATTGGGAATGTGGCTAAAAGACTGGAATTACCGGATCAGATTAGCCAAATGCTAGTGGATATCTTTAAACATCAACTGGGATGTGTCATCTATGGATTCCAGTCTGCCAGGCAATGGCAGTGTAGATCTACTGGGGGGATCCAGGTCCGTCAGCCCGTTAAACCGGCGGACCCGAGCATAAAACTTTATTTGGTATTTTCCTGGCAATCCCCGTATCAAGCCTCAAGATAAAGATTGTGGGAATCCTAATCCTGGTAGTGAGCAGGTCCAATACACCTTCTCTGGACGTGAGAGGGCGGTCTGGAACTGCGGGATCAGAGTGTTCGAGAAATACAGGCGTGGCGGTATCCATCTCCCGGTGGTACACTATCTTCATGTCGAATAGACCTGAAAAGAATGCCGCAGATTTCTCGATATTTGAAACTCTGAGCGCAATGTAAAGGAACTTATGTCCATTGGCTAAGTCTGGCAATGACATTGTAAAGTAGCAACTAATTCTTCCTTAAATGCCTAAATAGTGATAATATAAAATTGTGTAGATAATGTAGTTTGTGTAAAATAGCTAGTTGAGAGCTTATAGGTATTGTATTGTTTTACCAAAATGTGCTCTTCCTCCTTAAAGTCAACTTTAGCCGCGACTATTTAACAGCTGCCCCAGCATATCTTAGAGCCTGCTGCAGCACCAAGATGCATAATAATGTGTGAACGGAATCGGGCTACAATTGGTTCCCTTCCGATAGCAATTGCCGAAATTGCCTCCAGTAGTATAAACGACCGATGGGTTGTTGTTGTCGCATCGAAGACCGTAACCAGAAGGCCAGCCACCATCAACATCGCAAATATCTCCGTCCTTGCGCGAGTAAGAGATCATGCCGCAGTCATTGGCGTAGATGGTTGCGTGTAGGTCACTACAGCTGGGACCGCTGCTAGGACTGCCCAGTGTACATGTCTGCCAAGTGCCAACTGCAACTTCACCATCTCTACAGCCTGTTCGGAGAGCTGAGGAAAAGGCGGCCAGGATAAGAGGGAGGAGGAGGGTTTTCGAAACGTGCATTGTGTATATCGCAGTCCTATTGACTTGTTAGCTTACGGAGTCTTGTCAAAAGGTGCGCCAATGGCTGAGTCTGTCAAGAACTTACCGAATTCGGGCGATAAGGCTAGAGACAGTTTTGCTTGGTAGTTGCTGAGAGAGTGAGGAATCTGAGTTTGGAAGACTGCCAGGCAAAGGGAGGCTTTATATAGTAGGGCTCATGCGGTTATACATACAGAAGCGCTCACCATCCAAGTAAGACCATGAAATCAGCCTATTCAGTCATCTAGACATGGCCGAAGTTCCAAAAAGTAATTTCCCAAAATTCTCAATAAAACAGCAAATGCTGACAACATTGCTTTATCTGGCGGATTGCATTTTACCGGAACATTTCACCGAGTTGCTTGGTTGAGGATTGGCTCTGCTAGGGATCACCGGAACTTCAAGAGTAAATTTGCATCAGCCACGACTTGGATCGTGGTATTGCATGAGAAATGAGCATCAGTGATTGGCCATTTGAAGTTCCAAGGTAATCTTAGATGCATCGAAATTGGCTCGTGGTGTCTTTTAAGCCCGCTTACTGACATGGCCATATTTTCAGCTCTATTGAGGGATACGACATGTACATCCCGATTGGACAAGTCAATGATACCCCGGAACGTGAAGATGAGATATATCCGTTTTTAGTTGGATACATCGGTTAATTTAGCTGGAGAATTGATACAAACGATCACGAGAGGGTGAGGATATATGCGTCGCACATACTTCTGGATACGGTCCTTACAGCCTCCTACCCCATTTCCACGATTCAACATATGTCAATACTAAAAGATGTACCGCCGAGCACAGGACTTGTCGTCGACTGAAAGATGAGCACTTTCCTCTTCTGGATGAAAGCCCGATAGTGGCTTTTAAGCTTATGTTTTGGTCGCCGCTTATTACCCAGGGGCGTAGGATAATAACTTACCTCTTGCTTACTGATCGACTCCGAGCATGTAACTGTGCAAGCCGGGTTTATTTTGACGAAAGCTTGCACTTTTTGCGATGTCTTTTATTCAGGGTGAAGTTTCCAATATGGCTATATGGATTGCTAAGTGCTGAAACGTGGGATGTAGAATATGGCTTTTACGAGAAATCACACAACCTGGACTATTATCCTCCTATTGTGTTAAACCAGAAGTATGTTTGCTAACCTTATAACTGACTTATAAGGCAAATAATTCATCTTCTAGGCTTTCATAATATCAGCTTTATCCTCTAGCAATTGGTTAGACATTGTAGTATAATATCTAAGTTGTTAGCCGGATGTGTTATTTGCAGTTGAGACTTGTGGGTGAGAGCTTATATTAGCACAAAGAACTTAGTAATACTAGTCAAGAAGCAACACACTATAGCTTGCTAAGCCAACTAGCTTACTAGGACCCCTGAAATAACATTAGCGCCCAACGACAGCACCAACTCAGTATCGAGCTACAGGAGCTCAGTTCTAGAAACAGAAAAGGATTTTTGGCATGCTTGAAATTCGTCTCTAAGAGTTGGTTTGTCTTCAACTTGATTCTCCGGATATAAATCAGGTCTCAGCATCTGACACAGCCGTATCAAAACTACACGCCTCATACTCCCATCGCGCTTCAAAGCCCAGTTTCTCATAGAACCCCCGTATAGCAACAGCATCAATTAGAATTCCCTGCATACCCCTCTCTTTCAGATTCTCCATCGCTTTGACAACAAGTGCTAATCCAACACCTTTCCCTCTTGCTGCCTCATCCACTCCAACCGCAGCAATGAGACCAGTCTTTTCTCCAGAAGGAAGGAGAGGAAGAAATGCAAAGACATCGCCGGCTGAAGATCCGAAAGAGCACATGAGAGTCCAGCCAATTTGTTTGTTGGTATCCGGGTCAATGGCGACCATTACTTCGTGATGTTGGCCTCGAGCTGCGAGGGCTTCGTAGATGCCGCCCCAGGTCTGGATGGTGTTAGCGAAATGAAGTGAATACGGCAAGTATTATCACTTACGAATAGCTCATTTTGTTTGGTCATACATTCTTCGTACAGTTCTGGCGACCAAGGAGTGAACTTGACGCTTGCCTTTGAGACACGCTCCATTACTTCCGGTGGGGCAATTTCCCCTTCTATGTCCTTGTAGAGATCACGAGTAGTTATGGTTTCAGTATAATTGCCTATTGAGTTAGGAATAGCTGAGAGTCCCAGTAATCAACGACTGACCTCTATAAGTAAGGAATTGTTTCGCCTCAAGTGAAATACTAGCTGGCACTTGGTACCAGAATCTTGGAAAGATGGACCCCATCGCTAGAGAGTTCAATTTCTGACCTGCCTTCTTGGCCGCATCTTTCAAACCCGTCTTTCCTTTCTCGAGAAGTGCATTACCGAGACCTTGACGACGGTACTCAGGTAGAACACCGATGGCTGCGACATGCCCGAGGCTTCCACTTTTAGAATAGTAGGATAGGCAAAAGCCATGCTCGTGAATCCAATGCTGACCCTTTATTCCAACCAGAAGCCCTGGGAACCGATCTTGATCGATAGGCCAGTCCGGGAAGATTGCATGCCATAGCTTCCATGCTTGTTGGATATCGTCCTCCGAGCTGGTGAGTTCCCGGATGTCGTACTGAGAGACGCCGATAGGTCCGTCCTTTTTGCTCTTCTGCTCTGCCATTTTTACTGACTGAGTCTGAGATTTACGTCGCTGACAGTTACTGGGTTTTAATGTAGAATACTGGAGGCTGATGTTGGGATGATTATTTAGGATAAGAAACAGCTCATACCACGTGAGCTGACAGCAAGGTGCGGAGTTCATGCAGGGAATACGAGAATCTATGCCAAGGAAGGAAGCTGCAGTTAAATCCTTCAAGATTTCACTTATATACAGTTTTACTAGTATGAAAATAGAATAAACTCTATAAAACATCTAGGATATATCCTCCCATTTCCCCTCCCCCCCAAACTTGAACACTCTATCTAACTCTACTAGTCAGATCTACTCACTTCTACCCCCATGGCGCGGCCCTCTACTCAACTTAGCCTCATCTTTAGCCCTCGAAATCACATCCTCCCAAATTGGCGGCTTGCATCGAAGATCCTGTCCAGCAGCCTCTGCATCAAAACCAAACTGCAACAGCGCATCTTCGCTGCACCACTCGCCCGTAGCCATGAGTCCAACTGGGATTTTGCCCTCCGTGTCTCTATCAGCAACTTCGCCAGCGTCTTTTCTACCCTCGGGAACGACATAGCCTGCTGGAACGGTTATGGCAGGAAGGCCGCAGAAGTTAGCGAGCCAGACGTATTCCATGCTTTCGAGTGTATAATTTCCGTCATTGACGCCATAAGATAACTCGGACTTTCCACCACGGATAGGTGCACCGGCACAAGCGGTAGTGGGGGTAATGATAAGCATGCCGGGGTATGTCTTCCAAAGATAGGAAAGATGCTGCATTAACATTCCTCTCAGCTTCTGAGCCAGCAAATAATCCGTTGAGGGCGTAGTCCTTCCCAGCGCAAGCAAAATCTTGTTAGCAGGCGTCAAACCCTTCGTATCATACAGCAATGTCGAAGCATCAGTCAGAACAGTAAGTGCATGCGCCATCTGACCCTCAGCAGGGAAAGGAATTTCAATCGGGACAAGAGTGTATCCGTGCTTAGCAGCCAAAGATTCAACAAGCCCACGAACCAACGACTGAACACTTGGTGTAGCGCGTGAAATCCATGCATCAAAGATACCGAGGACTTTGGTAACAGGCGGTGAAGGTTGAAGAGCCAAGGGTGGAAATTGCGTTGAAGGATGAGGTTCAGCGATGGCTTCGTACGCAGCTGCCAACGACTGCATATCAACAGCCAAAGGCCCTTGAACAGCACATGTCGGTGAGTGATTCGCACCAGGCCAAGAAGCAAGTCTGTTATGCGTAGGCTTCAACCCAAACACCGAGCAAAACGATCCAGGAATTCGAATACTGCCACCGCCATCACTACCCAAAGCGAGAGGAATAAGTCCAGAACTGACAGCGTATGCAGGACCAGATGAGCTTCCGCCGGTATAATAGCCTGAATTGAATGGATTACGCGGCGTTCCTTGATTGGGGTTGTTGCCGGTCGTATCTGATAAGATCAGTCGATGTGAAAGAATAAGAATAAGAATACGGGACTTACCTAGTCCGAACTCGTGCATGGCGAGTTTGCCGATGATGACAACGCCTGCTTCTTCGAGCTTTCGTACGATCCAGCTTGTAGTCGATTCTCCGTCTTTAGGAGTCTCGGTGTAATCTCTTGGAGAGCCTAGGGTTGTTGAGTAGCCGTCTAAATCATAATCGTCTTTGATAGCAGAGGGAACGCCATCGAGGGGACCGAGGGGTTGCTTGTTTTTATAGCGTTCGGTTGAAGCTTCAGCGGCTCTCATGATACGTTCAATGTTGAGCTCCCTCCAAGCTTGGGCGTGTCGGCCAGGTGTTGGGCCATCGGTTTCAACCAAAGGCAGAATCGCCTTGGCAACATCAACCGGGGTAAGCTCCCCAGAAAGATACAGTGCTCGATAATCAGCTGCCGAGTAGAATTTCGACGGGTTTAATGTCTGAGAAGCATTTGCCTGTTGTAAAGCCGAAATCTGAACTCTCTCACCGCGTTCTTTAGCCTCAGCTTCAGAAAGCGCGATCGGCACGACAGTTGGATCGTAGCGAGGTTCGCAATGCTCAAGATAAGTCCGGATCTTCCGGAGCGAAGCGAAACCCGCATTAGCCCAGGCGGTCTCACGAATAAACCGAATCCATTCCATCCTACACCATTAGCAACTCATAGCTTCTCATGCCATTAATAAAAAAAAACTTACAGAAATGCAGCAGCAACGAGAAAAGGTCCTCTCAAGACCGGATTCCTATTCCGCTCAATAGCATATGGCACATGAGGTCTGAGATAAGCAAAAAAAACGTCAGCACATGATTCGCCCATCACGCAGCGTATGCTTACCCCTCCTGAGGCTCAGGATAGTTGAAGAACCGCCTCTCATTACTGAAATTGCTCATATTGAAGAATGATGACGATGATAAACTGAAAAGGTTTGAAGTTCATGCAGAAATCGGGGAATTTAAACTCTCGGATAAGGCGGCCACCGCGGAGACCGATTTAGCGGTGTTAGTCATGGATCTACGTACTTCGGAATCTCGGGACGCATGATCTTATCTGCATTGAGGATACGACTGACGAATTACATGCCGAGGATTGTATCAGAGGCTTAAAGCAAGCTTTGCTATTGAAACGTATGGCTTAATACAGGCAGCCACCAGCGTATATCCATACAACCACTTAATTATTGAAGACTTTATCGTTGATGGCAACGACCAGAGCTGCATAATCCTGATTATCCAAGTAATCGATGTATACAACATTGGGAAACGACTTATCACTGACTTCAGGCAGAAGTCGCGTGAAGAGCTCCTTGTTGCAGGTATAAGCCAGCTTCTTAATCGGCTTTAGAGACCTTGGCGCCACCTTGACGAAAGTGACGACATCGCCATCCCATTGAGGCGCCTGCTGGGTCAGCGTCCAAGAAAGAAGGAAAAGACGCTTGTCCTTGGCGGACATGTGACCCTTCATCTTCTCAATCTGGTCATTAACCATGACGACAGCATCGTCTTTGTTGGAATACTCGTTGCGAACGTTCATCGCTTCGTACTTGTAGAATCCCTTGTGCGCATAGTCGCCAATGTCGAGATCCCACTGCTCCATGACGCAAACGACAGCTGCCTTGCCGTTACCGATAAAATCGTCAAGCTTGAGTTGAGTGAGATTCTTGGCCTTGTTCTTGTCCTCGACGATGAACAGGTGGTTCAATTTGAGAAGCTCTTTCATGAGATTATGCCATTCCTGCTTGGTGAACTCTCGCCATTCGTCGGTATCGGTTTGAAGAGAGTGCGAGAAGTTCAGGATGATGAGTTCGCCGTTCTTCTTCGTAAATTCGTTGACGGCAGAAATGATGTCAGAAATCGATTCGCCTCGACCTCCAACCTTGCCGGTATAGTGACCGGTCCACAAATGGCCACCCGAGTACTGAGGTCGAAGATCAAAGTATCGAGCGCCATGCGCAAGCTGTCCCAGAACAGAGACAGACTGGCATAGAACGTAGGGGTCAATGACGCCGCCTGGGACATCGCAGTGAGACACAGTCGACATGCCCGAGTCGTGAGTGCCCAACATGCAAATCTGCGACAAAGGACGATGGCCAAGGGTGTTTCTGTTCTTCTGCATCCAATCCGTAGGTGGGTTTGAAGAATGAAAGTTCCCCTGTTTTCCAGAGAGAACGAACGTGACGCATTCGTCGTGCTGCCATCCCAGTTCGATCTTTGAGCCGCGAGGGTTGTTCAGCGCCTCCAAGCCGTCAAGCTGAATCCAGATGTTGGCGGGTTTATCGCGAACATGAATCGAAAAGCTCGCATTGGCACCCTCCAAGCTGTAGGTGACCGATCCACTCGTATCCCCACGCTTCTTAAGAACTCCATGGTCAAACTCCACATACGTGCTGGGAACCTTGCCTAGAATATGGTCAGAGATCAATTTATCTCTCAAATACACTCAAACTTACCTGCATCAATGGACTCCGGGAAGTCCCAGGCCTCCATCTGATAGCTATTCTGCTGGCTCCGCTTCCATTTGTACGGCGTACCGTTGACAAGGTTAATATAGCCGCCTTCACCCATTTTATCTGTAGATTTCGATGGCAATAGATGGTTTGAAGATGTCTAGGGGTGATCAAAGCGGAGTAATCTGACTATTTGTAGTTATGCCTCAACATTTTCTGGGTCTAGACCCTTGTTGTTTCAGCTCGCTAGTGCCCAGCTGAAAACGTCTTGGCATTCCCAGAGGCCACCTTTTCCACTGAAGATCTTGGGACTCAGCCACCAGCAAGCTACGCTCCAAGCTTCTATTCGCGGGGGGGGATCTGGGGGCGTCAATGGCGTCACCAAGATGCGCTGAGAAGAGGAGATTGCCAAGGCAAATATCCTCCGAGAAACTTCTACTCTGCGGTTTGCTGTCTATATTCTGTATTCTCTGTCGCTGAAATGTCAGTTAAGATGGCGTACTAGGAAACTACAAAATGTCGGGGTATAGGGTAGTGAACTGTCATTTGATTTGTAAAGAAATTCGTCACTTTTTACTCTGTACGTGGTCTCGATTAACCCAGATGCAATTCGCGACGAGTATGTCATTGTGGACGAGATCCATATAATCTTTATACTTCTACCCCAGTTCATCGCCATAATCTTCCTGGCATATTGCCAATCATCATCACTTTCTCATTTTCTAGATTGCTTGTGACCTTGAAGATAACACTCAAGAACGAAAAGTAGTAAAACAAGTCGCTCATTTAACCAGGTGTTTCCCAGCGGCGACCGGTTATTGTTGACCCCCTTTTGTCTTATTTTCGATCCCCTGTCACATCTGGCTATCCCACGCACAGAACAACAAATTTCCCAAGTGGAGCCTCGTTCCGGCATCCTCTTAAAACTTCCCATCCCCTGTTATCCCGTCAAGACTATTGAATGTGGCGTCGATTAGCTAAAGTTATCACCAATAATAGCCGTCATGGACCAGATTCGATCCAGGAACTATTGGGTCTAGAAAGACTACTATTTACTCAAGACCAAGCTCATCCCCACGCCAAGACATGTCCTTCTCTGCTCTGTCTCATCAAGCTGTCTGTCTCTCGTTAACATTCGCTCAGCTATCACAATGCGTGTCTTATCTTTTGCCCTAGCCCTTTTTGCGGCTGATATGGTTGTTGAAGCTGGAGTTTGCAAGCCCGCTCGTGAGTACCTTGGCACATGTAGGAGGACTCTTGAATACTGACAGATTGCTTTAGGCACAACTACGGCCGCGACTTCAATTGTTGAATCAACTACCGCCACCGCTCCCGCTACCTCTGAGACCTCTGTCATTGAGTCGTTGACCTCTGCGACTGAGACCTTGAGCACCGACTCAACCGAGATCTTGACGGCTTCCACCACTGAGGCTGCTTCGACCACCACTGAGGTTGCTTCGACCACCACTGAGGAAGCTTCCACTACAACCACTGCAGGCCCATCTTACACACCCGGCTCCATCGTTGGCACCGGACCCGTCGCTGGCCTCACCCTCCACGGCACCGACTCGCGATTCATCCCGCTGTCTTTCACACCATCCGACTCGACCCAAACCCTGATCTTCACCCTCGCTGCCAACGGCCAGCTCGCAACAGGCAACAACAACAACTACCTATGCCTGAACTACAAGCCTTCAGGTGTTCTCGGACCGCTCGTCCTGTGCCTCTTTGATAACTTCTCGAACGCTCCCTTGAAGTGCACGCGGGCGGCCAGCGGCACCCTTTCTTGCACTGCGCCGAACGGATCATGCGACGCGAGTGGAGCTTGCAGGCGACCTAACAATGCAGTCCCATTCTCTCAGTTGTATGTGGATGGTTCTCAGAACGGCTATTTTGGTCCCTCCGATGGGAACTTTGGGTCGGATTACACCGCTATTGACGTGATCCTTGCTGAATGAACATGGGGCTAAGGCTATGGCGATATGGAGACGGAAATCGAGAGTCTCTTCTTAATTTCTACTACTTTCTGGAGAAACGAAAAATTATTCTTCTACATGTAGAAACTGAATATCTTTCAATTCTTTGTACTGCACAGCTCTCCATTTCCGACTATCCGAAAAGACGAAATTGTAAATCAAACGGTGAAAAACAGCGCACCGTCTACTCAATCTCTCAATCTTAACTTTGGAATTGTTCCCAACTGTTTCGTGAGAAAAGATAAAAAGACCCACTAGATAGAAGGGACCCATTGGCATTGCGCTCAGAGATGACGAGTTTAGACAACCCAGCATCATTGCAAATTTGGTTTATATAGGCTCCTAAGACGCATTAGAATGCAGACAAATATGGCAAGATTGAAAACACTCACTCGAAGCTGGCTAATTCTGTGTTTTCTCTCTCATCTCCGGTATCAAAGCAGCAATCTGATCGCTCGTGGTAGTCTCTGCGGAGGACCCGGGGGTTCGTGCTACAAGTAAGAAATCATGCAGCAGACATATCGCCTTTGGCAAAGACAGGAATTCATCGTCATCGTCTTCATACTCTTCTTTCTCATCCTCGCTGACCTTGAAGTACTTCTCCACTGAGCGCCGCGCAAAATTGCGATAGTCTTGAAAGAGATATTCTTGGTTAGGATCAAGGGATTGCCCAGATGGGGCTAACATCTGCATTTCTGTACGGTGGGCAAACATGCAACTATGAGTATGTGTTAACATTGGGATCCTGAAAGATGTCTTTCTAACTTACCTCGCTGCTAAACACGCAGATGCTCCTAGAAATGGGTAGCATTCAAATTCATCAGTACCAACAAGTCTTACTCCGTCAAATTGACAATAGACTTAATCTTTTCTTGATCTACGGGGCCCTTGTCAAAGCCATCAAAAGCCATCCCGAGTTCAACAGCCGTATCCCTCTCTGGGGCAGCATTTACGATATCGTAGTAATTCTTAATCCGTTGCGCGATGGTATAGTTGACAACTTCGTGGAAGGCGTGCGACCAGAACATACGCGCGCCGCTGTCTATACTGGGATTCAGGCCAACCTAGGACGTCTCAACGGACCAGGTGTGGTACGCGTGATCCAGGGAAGTAGTGCTGCCTGCATTCAGTGCTTCATAAAGGCCGGCGAGTTGGCTGATGTACACCTGCTCAACATCAATGCGACCAGCAGATGCATGCTATCCAAAGCGGCCAAAGTATTCAGGGAGGGTGATGTTTGAGAACATGGTTTTGAGCAAGGTTTGCTTACTTATTATTTATATCTTATTAAAAAAATGACTTATATATTCAATAAGAGAAAAAGAGATAATAAATAAATAAATAAGTAAATAAATAAATTTTAGCCTGTTTTTCTAATTTACTTATTCCCACAGCCAGATTTCTTTCTCGCAGTGGCCGCATTCATATACAAGAATTATTCCTTTCAAGAACATTGGTGGGGATCGGGTATAGGTGAAAGTAGCTAGATGTGTCTTTGGAAGACAGTAAAAACAGGCAACAGCCGGAATTAGAGCTTGCGCAGGAAATCCTTCTGTACGGGCGTCTTGCCGAAGAGGGCCATCCATACCCGCACGGGTACCCGTGCAAATAAGGCTGCACGGATACCCGTGCAAATAAGGGAATTTGCTGACAAATGCCTCAAAACGGTATAGTACAGGCAGTAGTTTAGCCGACATTTATCCGGTTAATATAAATTATAAGTTTAATTTAAGGAACTTTATATAAAAAGCTTATAAATAAAATAGGAAAAAATTCTTATAATATATATTATATTTTCTATTATAATACAGAATTTTTAAAATATTTTTATATTAATTATAAAGTATATAATTAATATTTTAAATTTAATAAGCTTTAATTTACTTTTTAAAGCTTAATATATATTAAGAAAATAAAAAGTAAAACCTTATATTATGAAATTAATATACTTATAATTATTTAAATTTTTATTATATTATTAAGACTTATTATAGCTTTTAGATCTTAAGTTTTATTTCTAAATTTAATATCTTTAATATCTTATTAAATAATATATATTAAAAAATATAAATTATATAGAAAAATTCCTTAAAAAATCTAATATATCCTATATATTAGTATTATTTTATATCTATCTTATTTAGAGAGATATTAGTCTTTAAAGTTATCTTATATTAGTAAATTGTTATGACCCCAGCGGTTATTGTTACGACCCTAGCGGTTACGTCACGTGTACCCCACAAAAACTCATGCAAGGCATCAACCCCTCAACGGTTACGGGCCAATCAGA